AGGCTGCTAATATTTTATAATTGTTGTTGATTCTAGTTACTACCTACTTCTGAATTTTACCATTTGTTCTATTGTAAGCTGACGCGTGTCTCTTTCTTAATAAGGAAAAACTTTAACTTGCGACTGTTTTTAGAGTTTTAGCGAAGTGTCTTGAGAACCATTTACTTTACTGAATACATTTTTCGTACGTATAATAATCAAACCATCAATGAACAGGATTCAATTTTTCAAATTAATCTAATGTAAATTTTCTAGCGTGTATGTTTGCAGTTCTTTTACAATGTGTTATTTTGATGAACAAAATTGTAAAATATAAAGATTTCTTTTAAGTTTTGATAAATTCGCAAGTAATTTTTCTATTGACATTCGACGTACGCCCGCCATTAAAAAGCAATTATGTTGCAAAGAACCAATCAATTTATTGAATGCGGAAATACAAGATTGGCATAATACCATTAAAGCGTTGGATTGTTAAATATATGTTTTGATGCGTATAAATGACGCGTTTTGTTGTAAAATGTATCATGTAAAACAATGAATATTTCGGCTTTTGCCTAACATCAAGTTAACTGACGCTGTTTGATGATATGGTCTGTCATAATGTTAAATTTAACACAATGCATAAGCAACTCCGTAATTAGGAAGATGATATAACATTGCACTGCGTCTAGATCTACCACACATGTGCTTGTGCTACTCACAGCAAGATCTTAATCGGAAGACGGTCAAGTATAATTTCACTTAATAAAAGAAAGAGAAGATGAGTAGTTCAGATATGGATAATTCATCTTCAGGTCGACGAACACATAATTGCGCTAAATGCTTCAATCATGGCATTATAAAGCCACTACGAAATCACAAAATTCTGTCAATTTAAAGATTGCCCTTGCAATAAATGCAAAATTGTGTCGAGACGGCCAACGAGAGAACGTTCAATAGAGCCTGTTGCCGAACACAGAGACGAGCAAGAAATTGTTGAGCCAATGTTCGATGGCTATGACGAAGAACATGTCCCTGAATTGAGTGGATTGCAAAATGAATTCACCTAGACGATCAGGTACTCTTACATATTTGGATATTGATACATTTATTTAGCAATGTCGTACAACTATATTCTTGTGTAAGCATCATTTCATGATTACAATCAAGTTGCTTGCAATACAATTGTTTTAAAAGGCAACTGTAAAAACACGTGCGGTGTTAACTCTTCTTCCTGCGTTCAAAGTCGTTTTAAAACTTCTGGTATGTGGTTTGAAATATCTTATTTATAAAAGCGAGCATAATAGGAAAATTATTGTAAAGATATTTCGTTAAGATACTGCTGTAAATTTTCGACAGTTAACGTTTTCTATTTTCTAATGACTTTAACATCGAACCTAAAATACATGAATGTCATGCAGTTTTATGAAATAACTTCATATCGAAGGCTTTAAATAAACTCAACGCTCTATTTCGCGTAAATTTTAAACCAAACAGAGTTTGTTCTTCATTTGTATGTATAAACTTCAACTGTGCTAACAAAAACATTGTTAATGTAATTTATGAATATGATCTTGCTGAAATTGTCGACTTTGAGTATTGACGTCTTTAACTTAGCAAACTAAACAATAACGCGGACATTAATAACAATGAAAGAAATAATGAATAAAACCGCTGTATGATCCTTTGTAATGGGATATCCCATGAAAACACTGACTCTAAAACTCATAAAGTGTAAGAAAGAGTAGTGAATGCTTTGCGCATTTTGTGTGCACATGTTTCAAGACGAAAATTTGCATTTTGGCTTTAAAAATTCTATTAAGAGGCCCTAGGTATAACCTCCTTTGCCTTTCTTTATCGGGCTTGTGTACATTGTGCGCTTATCTCACTACACCAATTTTGTAATATATCGGTAAATTTTCGATGAAATCTCAACCCAAAGTTTTGAAAGGTTTAAAATTACACTAAAGCTTCAATATTATTACAAATTTACTCCAAATAAACATTAGTCAGCGTCATTATAAATAGATTTTCACCTCAAAAATGTGTCCCACGATTACTAATAAACACTAATGTTTGACCCTGGTGTATGTTTTCAGAGAAAAGAAGACGAGATTTTCTTGTACAGTGGGAACAGCCAGAAGCCAAAAGAGGTAGAGGTTCTGTTGGACGCCATTTAACCAACACAAGAAGTACAATAACGCCACAAGATGTACAGCAGCTGATTGATATCTTTCCTGACGAAGACATATGTGATCTCCAGTGTATCTATGAATCTTGTGATGGTGATAACGATGTTTTCGTGCAGTTGATATTAAAGAATTTGCGCTCTCGTAACCCCTGTATCTCTTTGAGCCTCCACCACCGCCATCATTACCAACTCCCTCGTCAGTGGTGATTGCCAATCCATTAATATGGCATAATCCATCCAATGATAACCACTGCAATCCATATTTTTATCCCTCGTTTTCACCACAGCCAGTGCAGCCAGTAAATCCGTTCCCTACTCCTCCTGATTTCAGCCATTTCACTCCATTCCAGGGGAACCTCTACAATAACGCGTCCAAGCTCTCAGCAAACGGCCAAGAACGAAACGAAACATAAGACATTGAAACATTTCCTTATGACATGGACAAGATAGAAGAATAGATCATGAACAATCATGCTTAATATGGATTTGAAGCGTTTTCATTCACAGACCTAGATTAAGTTTTTACACAAGGAATTTATTACTCAGTAGCGCTTTTTTTCATTTGATTTCATGATGACATACAAATAATTATTCTTATTTTTTACGAAAATATCTACGAGAAAGGAGAATTTTGGTTTACTTTAATTCATCTTTGTAATAAATCCTTTATAAACATTTTAAGTATTATTATTGTGTTAAACGAGATCTTGTGTGAGATTGATATAATTTAAACTTATTTTTCGTTTCATTCAAATTTTGCCTATTAAAACTTTAACGTGTTTCCACTATACAACAAATCACCACGTTTTCATGACCAAGTATACAAAACGAGGAGGAACCAACAGTGAGGGAGGGGAGACTGCCTCCACAATATTTCTATACGAAGGTCTTCTTATATTTATCTTGAAATTATCAGTTAAATAAAACAGTTCGTGATATGTGTAAGTAATATTACGGAGGTTTTTTTACCCACAATACTAAATCCTGCCGGCGTTCTTGAGAAGAATATCAGAATCAGAATGTTTTCTACCACAGTAACTAAAAATCTTTGGCAATAAGTTACAAGCTGCCTAAAACAAATGAAAATGTGTCAAGTAGAAGTCTGATTTTAGTTGATTAGGTTAATCGAGATCTGGACGCCAGTCCAGTTCTACAGTCTGTCTAGTCAACATAGCTATTAGCTAGTGTGTTTTCTTTGGAGAACTTTCGTCGAATTACAGAATGTAAAAAATAACATACTGCTTACTTACATAAGACAACTAAATCACAAAAGTTTATTTATTGTAAAATACTATATAGATGACTGGCCTTATTTACGTGGCAAGCAAATTAATCCATAAAAGTTTGACCATTGTTGCTAGTGTTGTCCAAAACCACTCGACCAAATCTGCCTGTCAGCAAAATGTTAACAAGTCAAGTCATCTATTCATAGTTGCAGTCAGAATTTCATTCAGTTTCCTGTGTGAAACACACATACTCAATAGTTGTTTTGAAATTTCAAATGATTTCTATAATGTCACATTTTGGGAGACTTCAGACTTGCACCTAATTTATTACCTGGCAGTCTGTCTAACATTCTTTAAAAATAAATCATAAAATAATGCAGCAAACTCAACCAAACATCATGCATATATTTTCCAGTGGGGATATAAAGTTACTATTGACATCAATACCATATCCTTTAATGATTTTCATCAATAACAGGGTCGATCAAAAAGAGTAGAGGAGAAAGCGGCCATTTATTGATATGTAAATTGTGTTTGTTTTAGACGGTGCTGTTTGAATGAGATTAAGCTCTTTGTTCTGATGCGCGGCAAAATTCCTTGACACTGCTGCAAATATCGCTTTTTTATGAATAATTACTTATTCGAAACTGCTATTAAGAGCATAAACTGCTATTAACAGCGCTTGACAGCAAACCAGGAATGAATTAATGAGTCATTAGACTCCTAGGCGCCATGTAGAATTTTACGGTAGGTTGATTTTACTTAGTTGTGCTTACATTTATGATAGTTTAAATGTTTAAATTGAGCAATAATTGTTCTGCATTTGCATCAAAATGCTGTTAATATTTTATATTTGTTGTTGATTCTAGTTACTACCTACTTCTGAATTTTACCATTTGTTCTATTGTAAGCTGACGCTTGTCTCTTTTCTTAATAAGGAAAAACTTTAACTTAAGCAACTGTTTTTTTAGAGTTTTTTAACGAAGTGTCTTGAGAACCACTACTTTACTGAATATATTTTCGTAATGTATAATAATCAAACCATCAATGAACATGATTCAATTTTTCAAATTAATCTACTGTAAATTTTCTAGCGTGTATGTTTCCAGTTCCTATACAATGTGTTATTTTGATGAACAAAAATTGTAAAATATAAAGATTTCTTTTAAGTTTTGATAAATTGCGTAATTTTTCTATTGACATTCGACGTACGCCCGCCATAAAAAATTATTATACAAGAGAACCAATCAATTTATTGCTTGACCGAAATACAAGAGTTGGCATAATACCATTAAAGCGTTGGATTGTTAAATGTATGTTTTGATGCGTATAAATGACGCGTTTTGCTGTAAAATGTATCATATAAAACAATGAATATTTTGGCTTTTGCCTCCCACATCAAATTAACTGACGCTGTTTGATGATATGGTCTGTCATAATGTTAAATTTAACACAATGCATAAGCAACTTCGTTAAGTAATTAGGAAGATGATATAACACTGCACTGCGTCTAGATCTATCACACATGTGCTTGGTGCTACTCACAGCAAGATCTTAAACGAAAGACGGTCAACAATAATTTCACTTAATAAAAGAAAGATAAGATGAGTGGTTCAGATAGAGATAAATCATCTTCAGGTAGCCAAACACAAAACTGTGCTAAATGCTTGAATCATGGCAAAGCAATTCCTGTACGAAATCACTACTGTCCATTTAAATATTGCCTTTGCGATAAATGCGTAATTTTGTCAAGACAAGCCAGGAGGGAATCTTCAAGAGATCCTGTTGTCCAATACAGAGACGAGCAAATAATGGTTGAACCAATGTTTGATAGCTCTGACGAAGTACCTGTCGCTGAATTTGCAGGATTACAGCAAATTCTAGAAGATCAGGTAAATCGAGTTTGATATTTTGTATTCTTACATGATTGGATATTGACATACTTATTCAGCAATATCGTACAACTATATTTCTTGTGTCAAGCAGAAGCATCATTTCACGATGAATCAGGTTGCATGCAATACAATTATCAAAAGGCAACTTTAAAACACGTGCAGAAACTCTTCTTCTTGCGTCAATTCAAAGTTGTATTAAAACTTCTGATGTATCGTTTGAAATATTTTATATATAAAAGCGAGCATGATAGGAAATGATTATAAAAGTATTTCGTTAAGACGATACTGCTGTAAATTTTTGACAGTTAACGTTTTCTATTTTTAATGACTTTAAAATCGAACCTAAAATACATAATGAAATAACTTCATATTGAAGGCTTTAAATAAACTCAACGCTCTATTTCGCGTAAATTTTAAACCAAACAGAGTCTGTTCTTCATTTGTTTGTATAAACTTCGACTGTGCTAACAAAAAGATTGCTGAAAGGATTTATTCTTGCTGAAATTGTCGACTTTGAGTATTGACGTCTTTAACAAAGCAATCTAAACAATAACGCGGACATTAATAACAATGAAAGAAATAACGAATAAAACCACTGTATGATCCTTTGTAATGTGATATCCCATGAAAACACTGACTCAAAACTCATGAAGTGTAAGAGGAGGAATGCTTTGCAAGTTATCGTGTTTGTGCGTATGTTTTAAGACGAAAAGTTGCGTTTTTTGTGCTTTAAAAAATTTCAATTAAAAGGCACTAGGTATAACCTCTTTTACCTTTCCTTATCCGGTTTGTGTACATTGTGCACTTATCTCACTACACCAATTTTTGCAAACTACATGTAAATTTTTGATGAAATCTCAACCCAAAGTTTTGAAAGGTTTAAAATTACATTTACGCTTCGACATTTATATTTTATTACGAATGTACTTGTTATAAACATTAGTCGGCACCATTATAAATAGATATTTTAGCTCAAAATGTGTCCCACGATTACTAATAAGCACTAATGTTTGCAATTTGTGTTTAATTTCAGAAGAAAGAAGACGTGATTTTCTTGAAGTGGAGAACAGGCAGAAGCCAGTTCTGTCAGTTTCCGCTCAACGAACACGAGAAACACAATAATGCCACGAGATGTACAGCAGATGATGAATATCTTTCCTAACGAAGACACATGTGTGCTCCAGCGTATCTATGAAGCTTGTGATAGTGATATAAATTTTGCTGTCCAGGTGATAACAACGTCTTTACGCTCTCATAACTCTTATGTCTTTATACCTCCACAACCGCCATCATCAGCAACTCCCTCGTCAGTGGACATTGCCAATCCAGGGATATGGAATAATCCATCCATTGATAACCACAGCAATCCATATGTTTACCTCTCGTTTTCACCACAGCCAGTGCAGCCAGTAAATCCGTTCCCTACTCCTCCTGATTTCAGCAATTACACCTCATATTCCTGGGGAACCTCTACAATAACGCGTCCAGGCTTTCTCTCAGCAAACGGCCAAGAACGAAACGTAACACAAGACATTGAAACATTTCCTTATGACATGGACACCATAGAAGAATAGGTCATGGACAATCACGCTTAATTTTGATTTTAAGTTGCTTCATTCACAGACCTAGATTAACTTTTTACACAATAGCACTTTAACTATTTTAGCACAAGGGAATTTATTACTCAGTAGCTCTTTTTTTTCATTTCATTTCATGATAACATACAAATAAGTATTATTATTTTTTTATTGTGAAGATATCTTCGAGAAAGGAGAATTTTGGTTTACTTTAATTCATCTTTGTAATAAATCCTTTTATAAACATAAGTATTATTATTGATTTAAACGAGATCTTGTGTGAGATTAACATATTTTAAAGTTTTTTTTCGTTTCATCAAACTATTTTTATAAGGTATTAAAACTTTAACGTGTTTCCACTATACAATAAATCACCACATTTTCATGACCAAGTATACAAAACGAAGAGGCACCAACAAGTGAGGGAGGGTAGAATGCTCCATATTTCATACGAAGGTCTTTTCATATTTATCTTGAAATTATAAGTTAAAAAAACAGTTCGTGATATGTGTAAGTAATATTATGGAGTGTTTTGCTTACCCACAATACTAAATCCTGCCGGCGTTCTTGAGAAGAATATCAGAATCAGAATGTTTTCATTACAACATTAGTAACTAACAAAATCTTTGGCAATAAGTTACAAGCTGCCTAAAACAAATGAAAATGTGTCAATTAGAAGTCTGATTTTAGTTGATTAGGTAAATCGAGAACTGGACGCTAAGTCCAGTTCTACAGTCTGTCTAGTCAACATAGCTATTAGCTGATGTGTTTTACTTTTTGAGAAATTTCGTCGAATTACGGAATGTAAAAATAAAATACTGCTTACCTACATAAGATAACTAAATCACAAAAGTTTATTTTTTGTAAAATACTATATAGATGACTGGCCTTATTTACGTGGCAAGCAAATTAATCCCATAAAAGTTTGACCATTGTTGCTAGTGTTGTCCAAAACCACTCGACCAAATCTGCCTGTCAGCAAAATGTTAACAAGGCAAGTCATCTATTCATAGTTGCTGTCAGAATTTCATTCAGTTTCCTGGTGTGAAAACACACATACTCAATAGTTGTTTGTGTAATTTCAAATGATTTCTATAATGTCACATTTTTGGGAGACTTCAGACTTGCACCTAATTTATTACCTGGCAGTCTGTCTAACATTCTTTAAAAATAAATCATAATTAAAAAAATGCAGCAAACTCAACCAAACATCATGTATAGGCATATATTTTCCAGTGGGGATATAAAGTTACTATTGACATCAATACCATATCCTTTAATGATTTTCATCAATAACAGGGTCGATCAAAAAGAGTAGAGGAGAAAGCGGCCATTTATTGATATGTAAATTGTGTTTGTTTTAGACGGTGCTGTTTGAATGAGATTAAGCTCTTTGTTCTGATGCGCGGCAAAATTCCTTGACACTGCTGCAAATATCGCTTTTTTATGAATAATTACTTATTCGAAACTGCTATTAAGAGCATAAACTGCTATTAACAGCGCTTGACAGCAAACCAGGAATGAATTAATGAGTCATTAGACTCCTTGGCGCCATGTGGAATTTTACTGTAGTTTAATTTTACTTAGTTGTGCTTACATTTATGATAGTTTAAATGTTTAAATTGAGCAATAATTATTCTGCATTTGCCTCAAAATGCTGTTAATATTTTGAAATTGTTCTTGATTCTAGTTACTTCCTACTTCTGAATTTTACCATTTGTTCTATTGTAAGCTGAGGCGTGTCTCTTTTCTTAATAAGGAAAAACTTTAACTTAAGCAACTGTTTTTTTAGAGTTTTAGCGAATTGTCTTGAGTACCACTTACTTTACTGAATATATTTTTCGTACGTATAATAATCAAACCATCAATGAACAGGATTCAATTTTTTCAAATTAATCTACTGTAAATTTTCTAGCGTGTAAGTTTGCAGTTCTTTTACAATGTGTTATTTTGATGAACAAAAATTGTAAAATATAAAGATTTCTTTTAAGTTTTGATAAATTCACAAGTAATTTTTCTATTGACATTCGACGTACGCCCGCCATTAAAAAGCAATTATGTTACAAGAGAACCAATCAATTTATTGCTTGACCGAAATACAAGAGTTGGCATAATACCATTAAAGCGTTGGATTGTTAAATGTATGTTTTGATGCGTATAAATGACGCGTTTTGTTGTAAAATGTATCATGTAAAACAATGAATATTTCGGCTTTTGCCTCCCACATCAAATTAACTGACGCTGTTTGATGATATGGTCTGTCATAATGTTAAATTTAACACAATGCATAAGCAACCTCCTTAAGTAATTAGGAAGATGATATAACATTGCACTGCGTCCAGATCTACCACACATGTGCTTGGTGCTACTCACAGCAATATCGCAATCGGAAGATGGTCAAGTATAATTTCACTTGTTAGAAGAAAGAGAAGATGAGTGATTCAGATATGGATAATTCATCTTCAGGTCGACGAACACATAATTGCGCTAAATGCTTCAATCATGGCATTATAACACCACGGCGAAATCACAAAAAATTCTGTCAATTTAAAGATTGCCCTTGCAATAAATGCAAAATTGTGTCGAGACGGCCAACGAGAGAACGTTCAAGAGATCCTGTTGCCCAAAACAAAGACGAGCTAGAAATTGTTGAGCCAATGTTCGATGGCTATGAAGACGAACATGTCCCTGAATTGAATAGATTGAAATTAAATTCACCTAGACGATCAGGTACTCTTACATGTTTTGAGATTGATGTACTTATTCAGCAATGTCGTAGAACTATTTTCTTGTGTGAAGCAAAAGCATCATTTCATGATTACAATCAAGTTGCTTGCAATACAATTGTTTTAAAAAGGCAACTGTAAAAAAACACGTGCGGTGGTAACTCTTCTTCCTGCGTTCAAAGTCGTTTTAAAACTTCTGGTATGTAGTTTAAAATATCTTATTTATGAAAAGCGAGCATGATAGGAAAAATATTATAAAGGTATTTCGTTAAGACGGTACTGCTGTAAATTTTCGACAGTTAACATTTTCTATTTTCTAATGACTCTAACATCGAACCTAAAATACATGAATGTCATGCAGTTTTTATGAAATAACATCACATTGAAAGCTTTAAATAAACTCAACGGTCTATTTCGCGTAAATTTTAAACCAAACAGAGATTGTTCTTCATTTGTATGTATAAACTTCAACTGTGCTAACAAAAACATTGTTAATGTAATTTATGAATATGATCTTGCTGAAATTGTCGACTTTGAGTATTGACGTCTTTAACTTAGCAAACTAAATAATAACGCGGACATTAATAACAATGAAAGAAATAATGAATAAAACCGCTGTATGATCCTTTGTAATGGGATATCCCATGAAAAACACTGACTCTAAAACTCATAAAGTGTAAGAAAGAGTAGTGAATGCTTTGCGCATTTTGTGTGCACATGTTTCAAGACGAAAATTTGCATTTTTCGTGCTTTAAAAAAATTCTATTAAGAGGCCCTAGGTATAACCTCCTTTGCCATTCTTTATCAGGCTTGTGTACATTGTGCGTTTATCTCACTACACCAATTTTTGTAATATATCGGTAAATTTTCGATGAAATCTCAACCCAAAGTTTTGAAAGGTTTAAAATTACACTAACGCTTCAATATTATTACAAATTTACTCCAAATAAACATTAGTCAGCATCATTATAAATAGATTTTCACCTCAAAAATGTGTCCCACGATTACTAATAAACACTAATGTTTGACCCTGGTGTATGTTTTCAGAGAAAAGAAGACGAGATTTTCTTGTACAGTGGGAACAGCCAGAAGCCAAAAGAGGTAGAGGTTCTGTTGGACGCCATTTAACCAACACAAGAAGTACAATAACGCCACAAGATGTACAGCAGCTGATTGATATCTTTCCTGACGAAGACATATGTGATCTCCAGTGTATCTATGAATCTTGTGATGGTGATAACGATGTTTTCGTGCAGTTGATATTAAAGGATTTGCGCTCTCGTAACCCTCGTCATCTCTTTGAGCCTCCACCACCGCCATCATTACCAACTCCCTCGTCAGTGGTGATTGCCAATCCATTAATATGGCATAATCCATCCAATGATAACCACTGCAATCCATATTTTTATCCCTCGTTTTCACCACAGCCTGTGCAGCCAGTAAATCCGTTCCCTACTCCTCCTGATTTCAGCCATTTCACTCCATATTCCAGGGGAACGTCTACAATAACGCGTCCAAGCTTTCTCTCGGCAAACGGCCAAGAACGAAACAAAGCATAAGACATTGAAACATTTCCTTGTGACATGGATATGATAGAAGACTAGGTCATGAACAATCACGCTTAATATTGATTTTAAGCTTTTTCATTCACAGACTTAGATTAACTTTTTACACAATAGCACTTTAACTACTTTAGCACAAGGGAATTTATTACTCGGTAGCTCTTTTTTTTCATTTCATTTCATGATAACATACAAATAAGTATTCTTATTTTTTTTATTGTGAAAATATCTACGAGAAAGGAGAATTTTGGTTTACTTTAATTCATCTTTGTAATAAATCCTTTTATAAACATTTTAAATATTATTATTGTTTTAAACGGGATCTTGTGTGAGATTGATATAATTTAAACTTGTTTTTCGCTTCATTCAAATTATTTTTGTAAAGTATTAAAACTTTAACGTCGAATTACGGAATGTAAAAATAAAATACTGCTTACCTACATAAGATAACTAAATCACAAAGGTTTATTTTTTGTAAAATATTATATAGATGACTGGCCTTATTTACGTGTCAAGCAAATTAATCCCATAAAAGTTTGACCATTGTTGATAGTGTTGTCCAAAACCACTGACCAAATCTGCCTGTCAGCAAAATGTTAACAAGTCAAGTCATCTATTCAGTTGCAGTCAGAATTTCATTCAGTTTCCTGGTGTGTGAAAACACACATACTCAATAGTTGTTTTTGAAATTTCAAATGATTTCTATAATGTCACATTTTGGGAGACTTCAGACTTGCACCTAATTTATTACCTGGCAGTCTGTCTAACATTCTTTAAAAATAAATCATAATTAAAAAAATGCAGCAAACTCAACCAAACATGTATAGGCATATATTTTCCAGTGGGGGTATAAAGTTACTATTGACATCAAACCATATCCTTTAATGATTTTCATCAATAACAGGGTCGATCAAAAAGAGTAGAGGAGAAAGCTGCCATTTATTGATATGTAAATTGTGTTTGTTTTAGACTGTGCTGTTTGAATGAGATAAAGCTCTTTGTTCTGATGCGCGGCAAAATTCCTTGCCACTGTTGCAAATATCGCTTTTTTATGAATAATTACTTATTCGAAACTGCTATTAAGAGCATAAACTGCTATTAACAGCGCTTGACAGCAAACCAGGAATGAATCAATGAGTCATTAGACTCCAAGCCATGTAGAATTTTACTGTAGGTTGATTTTACTAGTTGTGCTTAAATTTATGATAGTTTAAATGTTTAAATTGAGCAATAATTGTTCTGCATTTGCATCAAAATGCTGTTAATATTTTAAAATTGTTGTTGATTCTATACTACCTACTTCTGAATTTTACCATTTGTTCTATTATAAGCTGACGCGTCTCTTTTCTTAATAAGGAAAAACTTTAACTTAAGCGACTGTTTTTTTAGAGTTTTTTAACGAAGTGTCTTGAGAACCACTTACTTTACTGAATTTATTTTTCGTATGTATAATAATCAAAACCATCAATGAACAGGATTCAATTTTTTCAAATTAATCTACTGTAAATTTTCTAGCGTGTATGTTTGCAGCTCTTTTACAATGTGTGATTTTGATGAACAAAAATTGTAAAATATAAAGATTTTTTTAAGTTTTGATAAATTAAAAGTAATTTTCTATTGACATTCGACGTACGCCCGCCATTAAAAGCAATTATGTTACAAGAGAACCAATCAATTTATTGCTTGACCGAAATACAAGAGTTGGCATAATACCATTAAAGCGTTGGATTGTTAAATGTATGTTTTGATGCGTATAAATGACGCGTTTTGTTGTAAATGTATCATATAAACAATGAATATTTCGGCTTTTGCCTCCCACATCAAATTAACTGACGCTGTTTGATGATATGGTCTGTCATAATGTTAAATTCAACACAATGCATAAACAACCTCAAGCCCGCCGCACACTGGTGAACTTGCCGCGCACATATTCGTGACAAGTGTCATCGACAAAAGTTCCTAGGTGCGCGGAAGTTTTGAACAACATTTGTCATTCGTGACAGATGAGTCAAATATCGTGTTTGATATTTTGTCACGAGTGACAAAAATCCTAGTGCGTAGAGCAAGCAGCAAGTGCGCTGTAATGACAAAATGCGCGCGCGATTAATAAAACAAAATGGCGGACCAAACCTCGGAAAATGTGGCGGACGTTATATTAGAGGACCAGCTTGTTGATATTTGGCCTGAATATCCATGTCTTTACGATGTAAGATCGTCGGAATTTGAAAATCGAGACGCAAGAGATAAGCTCTGCACTTGAAAATCTTGGGCAAACAGGTTGTTATTGTTAATAATAAATATCGACTTTATAAGTGTTTGTTATATAGTCATTCTCCAATCTTTTAGTTCTTTATTCAGTCCACGCTGTTGAGCAGAGACTTATTTGCTGAAAAATATAATTAATAGTCGCAATGGAACTCACACGTCAATTTCTTACTTAGTTGATTGGGTCATAAAATAAAAGCATTGAGAAAGCTTACACACGAGTCAAAACCTCCTCCAGTGGTAGCGCTCGCAAAAATCTTACGAAGCGAGGTAGCTGGATAAACTGAAGTTCCTCTCCTTTCGTGGCAACAAGAGTTCCATTTCAAATATTAATACTGTAAGTGAAATTTTGTTTTATTTTGATTTTCCAAACAATTAATATTTAGCATAACATATATATATCTATATACATAAAGACAAACGTTTCTCCGGATTTAAATGATTTTATTGAGTTTCAAACTATGTATATATATATATATATATATATATATAATGAACTAAAATAAAATGGACAATTGTTTGCTGTCGCTACTGAGTTTCACCAGGGATGCATTTGTATGGCTATGTGTTTCCCATCTAGAGCTCCAATGCAGCCAGGATAGTTTCATTTTTTTCAAATTGGTTTGCAACAGCCTTCCATTCTTCTGCACAAGATGGAGTCTGTAATTGAAGAAAATAAAAGCAATTACATCATAAATTTGCTTATGTTAAACTAATGGATGTTCATTTATTGAATGCTTCTAGGACGATTCCAATTCACCATCATTCATAACAATTGCTGATGAAGTTGATGATCAAAACGATGATGATGACAACAGTTTTAATGATCCAGCAAAACCAAGCAACAGTTTTGAGAATGAGGTTGACTGTCCCATTTCTAGTACTAAACAGCCAACACTTATAAAGCCAAATAGAAAAAGGCAGGCAGATGAAGAATACAATCTCATGACTTGTTTGGCAAAAAACATCTCAAGAAAAAGAAGCAGAGAAATGTCTCACAAGCAATGTAATAACCCGGATGAAGCATTTGGTCATTATATCATGCAGTCGTTGTCTGAACTTCCCCCCACTGTAAGGCACTTGGCACAATACAAAATTAATGAAATACTGTTCCAGGCTCAATCAGGGGAACTTACACATCAAAGCACAAGAGTGCCAGTAGCTATGCACCAACATATGTTTCAAACACCTTATGCACAAAACAACATACACCCCATCAGCAATCATGTGACAAATAGTCAACGATGCAACACATCTTCCCCAATAGATGGTGGATTGAGCCGTCCTGTTGTTAATATGTGGTCTTCACCAATCTCTAGAGAGCTTAATTCAGGTCAAGACTCATCTGCCTATAGTAATTAGGAAGATGATATAACATTGCACTGCGTCCAGATCTACACATGCTTGGTGCTACTCACAGCAATAACTTAATCGAAGTCAAGTATAATTTCATTTAATAAAGAAAGATGAGTAGTTCAGATATGGATAAATCATCTTCAGGTGGACGAACAAATAATTGCGCTAAATGCTTCAATCATGGCATTATAACGCCACTGCGAAATCACAAAAAATTCTGTCAATTTAAAGATTGCCCTTGCAATAAATGCAAAATTGTGTCGAGACGGCCAACGAGAGAACGTTCAAGAGATCCTGTTGCCGAACACAGAGAGGAGCAAGAAATTGTTGAGCCAATGTTCGATGGCTATGACGAAGAACATGTCCCTGAATTGAGTGGATTGTATGAATTTAACTAGACGATCAGGTACCACGTTTGGATATTGATACATTTATTTAGCAATGTCGTACAACTATATTCTTGTAAAGCAAAAGCATCATTTCATGATTACAATCAAGTTGCTTTCAATACAATTGTTTTCAAAAGGCAACTGTAAAAAACACGTGCGGTGGTAATTTTCTTCCTGCGTTCAAAGTCGTTTTAAAACTTCTGGTATGTGGTTTGAAATATCTTATTTATAAAGAGCGAGCATAATAGGAAAATATTGTAAAGATATTTCGTTAGACGATACTGCTAAATTTTCGACAGTTAACGTTTTCTATTTTCTAATGACTTTAACATCGAACCTAAAATACATGAATGTCATGCAGTTTTATGAAATAACATCACATTGAAAGCTTTAAATAAACTCAACGCTCTATTTCGCGTAAATTTTAAACCAAACAGAGATTGTTCTTCATTTGTATAAACTTCAACTGTGCTAACAAAAGATTGTTAATGTAATTTATGAATATGATCTTGCTGAAATTGTCGACTTTGAGTATTGACGTCTTTAACTTAGCAAACTAAACAATAACGCGGACATTAATAACAATGAAAGAAATAATGAATAAAACCGCTGTATGATCCTTTGTAATGTGATATCCCATGAAAAATACTGACTCAAAAACTCATAAAGTGCAAGAAAGAGTAGTGAATGCTTTGCGCATTTTGTGCGTATGTTTCAAGACGAAAAGTTGCATTTTTCGGGCTTTAAAAAAATTCTATTAAGAGGCCCTAGGTATAACCTCCTTTGCCTTTCTTTATCGGGCTTGTGTACATTGTGCGCTTACCTCACTACACCAATTTTTGTAATATATCGGTAAATTTCGATGAAATCTCAACCCAAAGTTTTGAAAGGTTTAAAATTACACTAATGCTTCGATATTATTACAAATTTACTCCAAATAAACATTAGTCAGCGTCATTATAAATAGATTTTCAGCTCAAAAAGTGTCCCACGATTACTAATAAACACTAATGTTTGACCCTGGTGTATGTTTTCAGAGAAAAGAAGACGAGATTTTCTGGTAGAGTGAGAACAGCCAGAAGCCAAAAGAGGTAGAGGTTCTCTTGGACGCCATTTAACCAACACAAGAAGTACAATAACGCCACAAGATGTACAGCAGCTGATTGATATCTTTCCTGACGAAGACATATGTGTGCTCCAGTGTACCTATGAAGCTTGTGATGGTGATAACGATGTTTTCGTGCAGTTGATATTAAAGGATTTGCGCTCTCGTAACCCTCGTCATCTCTTTGAGCCTCCACCACCGCCATCATTACCAACTCCCTCGTCAGTGGTGATTGCCAATCCATTAATATGGCATAATTCATCCAATGATAACCACTGCAATCCATATTTTCATCCCTCGTTTTCACCACAGCCAGTGCAGCCAGTAAATCCGTTCCCTACTCCTCCTGATTTCAGCCATTTCACTCCATATTCCTGGGAACGTCTACAACGCGTCCAAGCTTTTCTCGGCAAACGGCCAAGAACGAAACGAAACATAAGACATTGAAACATTTCCTATGACATGGATATGATAGAAGACTAGGTCATGAACAATCACGCTTAATGTTGATTTTAAGCTTTTCATTCACAGACTTAGATTAACTTTTACACAATAGCACTTTAACTATTTTAGCATAAGGGAATTTATTACTCAGTAGCTCTTTTCATATCATTTCATGATAACATACAAATAAGTATTCTTATTTTTATTAGAAAATATCTACGAGAAAGGAGAATTTGGTTTACTTTAATTCATCTTGCAATAAATCCTTTATAAACATTTTAAATATTATTATTGTTTTAAACGGGATCTTGTGTGAGATTGATATAATTTAAACTTGTTTTTCGCTTCATTCAAATTATTTTTGTAAAGTATTAAAACTTTAACGTGTTTCCACTATACAATAAATCACATTTTCATGACCAAGTATACAAAACGAAGAGGCACCAACAAGTGAGGGGAGGGAGACTGCTTTCCATATTTTATACGAAGGTCTTTTCATATTTATCTTGAAATTATAAGTTAAAAAAACAGTTCGTGATATGTGTAAGTAATATTACGGAGTGTTCTGCCTACTCACAATACTAAATCCTGCAGGCGTTCATGAGAAGAATATCAGAATCAGAATGTTTTCATTACAACATTAGTAACTAACAAAATCTTTGGCAATAAGTTACAAGCTGCCTAAAACAAATGAAAATGTGTCAATTAGAAGTCTGATTTTAGTTGATTAGGTAAATCGAGAACTGGACGCCAAGTCCAGTTCTACAGTCTGTCTAGTCAACATAGCTATTAGCTAATGTGTTTTAGTTTTTGAGAAATTTCGTCGAATTACGGAATGTAAAAATAAAATACTGCTTACTTACATAAGATAACTAAATCACAAAAGTTTATTTTTTGTAAAATACTATATAGATGACTGGCCTTATTTACGTGGCAAGCAAATTAATCCCATAAAAGTTTGACCATTGTTGCTAGTGTTGTCCAAAACCAAAGGTACCTTCTCGTAACCCTCATCTCTTTGAGCCTCCACCACCGCCTTCATTACCAAGTCCCTCGTCAGTGGTCATTGCCAATCCAGGGATATTGAATAATCCATCCAATGATAGCAACAGCAATCCATATTTTTACCCCTCGTTTTCACCACAGCCTGTGCAGCCAGTAAATCCGTTCCCTACTCCTCCTGATTTCAGCCATTTCACTCCATATTCCAGGGGAACCTCTACAATAACGCGTCCAAGCTTTCTCTCAGCAAACGGCCAAGAACGAAACGAAACATAAGACATTGAAACATTTCCTTAAGACATGGACATGATAGAAGAATAGATCATGAACAATCAACAATATTTCTCATACGAATGTTTTTTTTTTATATTTACTTGAATTTATCAGTTAAATAAAACAGTTCGTGATATGTCTATATAAAATTTTGGGAGTGTTTGCCTACCCCTAATACTAAATCGTGCCGGCGTTCTTAAGAAGAATATCAGAATCAAGATGTTTTCTTTATAATTTTAGTAACTAACAAAATCTTTGGCAATAAGTTACAAACTGACTAAAACAAATGAAAATGTGTCAATTAGAAGAAATAGTGTGTATTAGAGTAACTGTTTTTTACAGTTTTAACGAAGTGTCATTAGAAGCATTTACGTTAATTACTGAATACTTTTCATACGTATAATAATCGGAACCATCAATGAGCAGGATTCAATTTTTCAAATTATTCTACTTTAAATTTTCTAGCGTCATACTTCACATTTAGCACGCGACGTAGTTAAATTCTGCACAGCAACGAAAAAAATAAAATCAAATGTTAAATGCCCTTAATTAAAATACATAACAATTTCACGGATGTGAGATGAAGCTCGTTTAGCGGAAACGACCCAGACGTTCTTCTATGCGTCGTTTGCAGGTTCGAATCCCGCCTTGGTTTGGTGTCGTTTGTTTCGATGTGTGGATATAATGATCATGAATTCTTTATCGTAAAATTAATTAAATTTTTTGTGTCCTCACAACGAAAGCATTAGAAAAATAAACTATTGTCAGGGTTAGGGATAGTATTATGAGAAAATTGTGCAACAACGTGCATTCACTGAGCAATGTTATAGTTTCCAAGACCTGGATTAAGCATCGGATTAAGAGATCAAGTGGCTAAAAATACTTGTAATTCACTTGCGGGAGAAATACCCATAGCTAACCCGCACAAAGTCAGCACGCCTAAAATTGTGCTGAATTTGGAGACTAAAATCTGTCTCTTGATTGGTTTATTGCCGTTGTGCTGAATAACGAGCCGCCGTTTTTGATGAAATGTTCAAGCGGTGTTGTGCGAAATTCAGCACAGATTGAGATTGTTGATAGCAGAGGTTTTAGCTTGAGCTTCAAAACCAACAATATCAATGAGAAGCATGGCATCTTTCACTGACTTAGTCGAAGATGCTTTTACGAGGAAAGATGAGACTTTTATGGCTCAACTCTACGGAGAGATGTTGGATTGCCTGAAAGTCAACAGCATTGTTACCAACGATAATTTGTTGGGATCGTCTCGGTGTTGATATTTTCCGAAATATCAATGCCGAATTTTACACACCGCAGAGTGCCAAGACAAAGAACACAAATTTGGTTGCCTTAAGGTTAGAAAACTTATGACATGTTATGCATGCATGCTTACACAAGAATATATAAGCAAATATAAATTGACTTGATGTGATGCTCGATTGATTTGTCCATTTGTGGTTTATTTATGTGATTCAAAACAAAGCAAATTTTCGAATTTCGATCATATTTAAAACGTTTCTATTGATTTATTTTTTGATGTGTTCAATAGTGTACTTGAGATAAGATATACAAAAATAAACTGAAGCATGATATTTGAAATCTACGTAACATTTCAGATCTGCTACAAATGGCAACTGCCTCTATAGTTCATTGTCAATTCTGCTTGTTAGTGACAGCTTTGTGGTGACTATTTTGAGGCTGATGACCTCTATAGAATTATTTTTATTTGCTGATTATTATGCAAAACATCCATGTTTTTCAAATCTTTTTGAAACTCAGCATAACAAACACTTTGATTCTATCTCAACCATGGTGGCCATGTCAGTCTCTTTTGTGGAAGTGGTTGTTCTGTTGCTAAACTAGTCAGGGCAGAAGCTGTGTTAAATGCATAAGATATGGCATTGACTGGGTTTGTTTGTTTGTTGGCACTCTTCAGTTATGTCCTGTAGCATTTTTCTTATTATCCTGACATATACTCTAGTGCTTATAAAGGGAATTTATTATTTACCAAAGAATTGAACCTCAAATTCTATCTAGGGCTTGTGCTTCCACTAGTAATTTTATGAAGTTTTGTTTTGCTTTGAAGGTTTAGCTCCTCAAGCAACTGCATTCAAACACAATCATTATATGCTTTGATACTGGAAGGGAACTAAAAGAAAGGGAAGTAGTCACTTGTCACAAGCTAAAACCCCAGTATACAAACAAAGTTGAGGTTTACACCTTCTGGTCCCAATGAGACAACCATGACAACTAAGGCTCATCCATATGGTATATCTTACAGGTAAATCTCCCAGGTTTTGAGAACATAAAAGTATTGTTAAAGATCTTAGGTACTATTCCAGTCACTCTTGTGAGTGTGAGAGATCGCCTCTGCTTTGTGAAGATTAAAGAACTATACAAGAAGTACTATGGCTGCTGACAGGTTAAATGGTCTTGCTTTATTGTATATTCATCAGGACATTAATCCAGATATAGAAAGATTATAGATCTTTTGCAAAAGACAAAAGAAGAATTGAACTAGCTTTCTAGTAAGGAGGAAAGTTTTGATGCCTTTTAAACTCTTAACTGTAAAGATGACTGCTGCTAACCTCAGTCAATATAAACACAAACAATCGTTTCACGACTTTACTTACCTGGACGACGACATCTACAAACATTTTTTGCTTTTTTTGTTGGCAACTTCATTTGATAAATTGACATAAAATCGTTTGCATAATAATCAGCATAAAGTTTTGACTAGACCATTATAAAATGAAATTCCACATAAAAGTTGATGAAGCGTGAAAGAATTTTTAGGCTAAGTTTGTAATGAACCAGGCCGTCCATGTCAGAAGCCCTCAAAGCATATTTTTCTCATGAAGCCTAGGCATACTGATGAGCTCTGATATTGAGCAAACGGTCAAAAAAATGATTTATGAGCTAGAATTTTAGCTTTCCAGTTGTAAATATTTTAGAAAATCAACTGTAAAACGCAGGAAATAGCGTTTCTGCAATCCAATTTTAAAATTTTACCAGGGGACATGCACCTGACCCCCTAGAAAAGTTGCGCTAATGGTGCGACATTGTGCCTAAGTTCATATACGAAGCTGAACCGCCCCCTGTGTAAGTTTGCAGTTCTTTACAATGTGTAGTTTAATGAACAAACACTGTAAAATATAATGATTTCTTTCGAGTTTTGATAAATTTTCAAGCAAGTTTTTTTTATTCAAAATAGACATTCAATTTTACGCACAACATTAAAAAGCAATTACGTTACAACTTACAAGAGCACCTGTCAATTTATTGCTTGAACTTTGAGAGAGATACAAGAGTTAGCATAATGCCAATGAAGCGTTACATGGTAAAATATATCATGAAAAACAATGAATTCGAAGTGAAACATAACTGCATGGTTTGAAATAAGTTTTATCAGAAATTTTTTTTGTAAAATTCAGATTCTCAAAGGACTAATTATGTCAAATATTCGCCTCCTTCACCTTGTTCAACAATGGTTTGATAATCTGGCTGTCTTAGTGTTAGTAATTAAATACTAAACGTAAAAAAAAACTTCATGAGTTATTATGAGGAATTGGAAATATATAAGATTTGCAATACGTCTAGATCTACCACACATTTGCTTGGAGCTACTCACAGCAAGATCTTAACCGGAAGACGGTCAACTATAATTTCACTTGATAGAAGAAAGAGAAGATGAGTGATTCAGATAGGGATAATTCATCTTCAGGTCGACGAACACAAAATTGTGCTAAATGCTTCAATCATGGCATTAAAATTCCTAGGCGAAATCACAAAAACTGTAAATTTAAAGATTGCCCTTGCAATAAATGCAGAATTGTGTCGAGACGGCCAACGAGAGAACCTTCAAGAGATCCTGTTGCCCAACACAGAGACGAGCAAGAAATTGTTGAACCAATGTTCGATGGCTATGACGAAGAACATGTCCCTGAATTGAATGGATTGCAAATAAATTCACCTAGACGATCAGGTACTCTTACATGTTTTGAGATTGATGTACTTATTCAGCAATGTCGTACAACTATTTTCTTTGAGAAGCAAAAGCATCATTTCATGATTACAATCGTTGACGAAGCAACAAATGCAACTTTAAACACACGTGCAATAGCTCTTGTTCATATGTTCAAAATTGTTTTAAAACGTCTGGTGAATCGTTTATTTTCTTAAACTGTTATATCATGTAGCAAAACATTCTATGTATAAACAGCGAGCGTGATAAAAGATTATAAAGGTATTTCACTATGACTGTGCTATCAAAAACAGTGTAGGTATTTTATTGAGACAATCTTGTTGAAAATTGTCAACAGTTTTGCGTTCCCTAATGACTTTTATATTAAGCCCAAAATATACGAAGGTCAGTATTGATGAAATAACTTCATAATCAAGGCTTCAAATGAAGTTCATACTCTATTGTCTCTAAAACAGACTTTGAAAACATACCAACAGTTACATGTGTTTAAGATGCAACCAAAATTTTAATGGCCGAATGGTGAATCGATTTATTTAACCCTGAATTATTGATAACTTTAAAATAAATAATGAACAAACTGTATGATGCAATGTATGTGTCATGCGATATCCTATGAAAAAACACTAATTTAAGAACTCAAAAAGTGTAAGGCAGGCAAGTTCAGGCTTTGTGCAATTTGTGTCTGTGTGTTTTTGGGGCTATAAAAAATATTTTAACAATACTTTACTGTAGGCTACCAGAGGCCCAAGGTATAACCTTCTTTACCTTTCCTTTTTGGGCTTGTGCACATTGTGCGTTATTCCACTACACCAATTTTTGTAAATTATCGGTAAACATATACTTAACATATACTTTTGAAAGGTTAAAAATTATATTTATGCTTTAACATTAACGTTTTCTTACGAACGCACTCCTAACATTATATATAAGTCGGCAGCATTATAAATTTCTTAGCTCAAAATGCGTCCCACGATTACTAACAAACACTAATGTTAGCAATTTGTGTTTGATTTCAGAGAAAAGAAGACGAGATTTTCTCGAAGAATGGGAACAGCCAGAAGCCATTCTGTTGGACGCCATTTAACCAACACAAGAAGTACAATAACGCCACAAGATGTACAGCAGCTGATTGATATCTTTCCTGACGAAGACATATGTGTGCTCCAGTGTATCTATGAAGCTTGTGAGGGTGATATAGATGTTTTCGTGCAGTTGATATTAAAGGATTTGCCCTCTCGTAACTCTCATGTCTTTGAGCCTCCACCACCGCCATCATTACCAACTCCCTAATCAGTGGTCATTGCCAATCTAGGTATATGGCATAATCCATCCAATGATAGCCACAGCAATCCATATTTTTACCCCTCGTTTTCACCACAGCCAGAGCAGCCAGTAAATCCGTCCCCTACTACACCTGATTTCAGCGATTTCACCCCATATTCTTGGGGAACCTCTATAATGACGAGTGCAAGCGTTCTTCCTTCAAACGGCCAAGAACCAAACGAAATGCAAGACATTAAATTATTTCCTTATGACCTTGACATTATAGAAGAAGTCGTAGACAATCACGCTTAATGTTGATTTTAAGCTGTTTTATTCACAGACCTAGTTTAATTTTTTACACAGTAGCACTTTATTTTAGCAAACGGGAATTTATTACTTATTAACAATTTCTTTGCACGTAATATCATGATAACGTTACAACAAGTGTTGCATTTTTTCTGTCAATTGCATTAATATTTGTAATAAGTGATGTGAGACCACTTTCATGGGACTGATGGGAGTTAATCACGTCAATTTGACATCCTTTGTCAAAATCATCAAAGATGGCGGCCATTACGTGACTTTCACAATGTTGTTTCAAGCAATATTTGAAGAATATATGTTAACATTAACTTGCTACGGAGAAAAATTAACGTAAAGTATCACAAAAACGGATTAAAAATCACGGCATTTATTTACAACAAAACGATCGGCATGCTTGGGATATATATGGATATATATTTTTTTCAATGGCCTGATAAAATATTAAAATTTTTGTTATTCGGATGGTTTTTTAAAAAGAGAGTTGCACTAGGAGCCAGATATGGTTGGAACTTGATATAAATATAGCTAAGCATTTTCCTTCATTTGGTAGTTTACATCGCACTGACATTCAATAAGGACAGTTTTTATAAAATGTTTGCTACTTTGCTCGTTCTCGGCCGATGGAGGTTGAAACATAGCCTCATGTTTGGTTTTCAATTGAAATCCAGTTCTTCTTTGAGATTGAAACATAACCTTGTAATTGAGACATAACTTGTGTCGCAACTATATTCTTTAACAATAGAACTCACTGGTTGCTTTTAAGAGAAGGTTTTAAAGTTTCGCTTGTTTATGACGTCATAGGTTTGTTGCTATAAATGTTAGTTATGTACGCGACGCTCATATGAGGTTTACGAACCCTGGACTCCTGAATTGAAGCATTTAGTTGGCTAAAATTCGAATTGCGATACTCTGAACACTGATTTTATCTTTACGCAACACAAATTATTAAACTTGTTTAGTTCATACAAGTACGACGTGATTTTGTTGTGTTAAAATATAGCTAAAGCAGACAGTAGAATACATTCATCATCCTTTTTTCATTGCCTAAACTCAAAAGTTGTTCTTCTTGTTCTTTATTAGCATTTCAAGTTCTTCAAGTTCAGTTTTCATTTGTTCCACGCTTGGCGAAGAAACATGGTCACTCACAAGGCTTCGTGTATCGACCTGGCCTTCATTGATAGAAAATTTTCATGAGTGGCCGCAGAACATTCTTTTGATTTTGTACAAGTTCTACTGAATAAACACGTTCCTTATGTTTTTACTTTGGTATTTTTCTTGTGTTTATGTTTATGGTGATGATTATGCTTGTGTTTATGCACATGTTTATGTATATGAACATGATTTTACTTCCGATACAATCTCCAAAGTGAACATCAATTTTTGTGGTATCAGATTTGTCTGTTGTAACTAAAACACTTGCTGTAGAAACACTCTCACAAATTTCCATTTCATCTTTCTTTGAAACTCGCGTTTCTCTTTTCATTTCATCATAATACTCAGGCGAGTCGCTAATTTCGATGTTATCATTTATTGTAACTGTACAAGAATTTCCTTGGTAAACTTCAGCACTTTCTATGACATCATGCTCGTGTAGTCTTGGAGTTTCATTCCACGGGCAACTGGAAAGAGGAGTGACTTCCCTCATCAAAGAAGACCTATCGGATTTATCTGACAAAAAAACAACAACAATATATTGTAATGCTACTGCACGAATCATTAGAAAACGCCTAAAAAATCGCAGGTTTAGGATATGGACCATTCCGTAAACTTATTTGAACGAACCATAACATAATTAAACATGTACTTAACCGATTCTTTCCTCATTTACGATATTTTCAACGCGTTCCTCCGGCCATGGATAAAAAACTCGTTCGTCATACGTGTTGATATCGAAAGGAGATTTAGCAAACGCTACAAGTTCGTGAACAAAATGTTCTGTTGTTTGAAGAAGAAACGGTTGTAGTTCTTCAACGAATCGCGCACTATCCATGTCGATTCTGTAACGGAGAAAAAGATGTTTTGATCAGTGTAGTTTAGGAAAACTACATATAGCTATCTCGAGATGACAAATATTGAGATTTATTTATTTCATTTATTTGTTTATTTATAAATTTTCTTAGCTAGCTATAATATCCTCAGAAATAATCATAGTTAAGTCAAAGATTCAGCTATGTGCTAAATATTATTAACAGCAACAATGTCTGTGATGTGCAAGAAATGAAAATTTCTTCGGTATTTTCTCCATAAATATAGTACTTTACATACATAGTTTATTAGCTTTACGTTTTCACGATTGAATTTTGTAACCCATGAAGACGTCAAAAAAAAAAACAACGAAAAATAATCACCTTGTTATCAAAGAAAGAACAAATTCTATAAGGAAATTGACCTCTCCTTCATTATTTCCCAGGAGAACTTTGAGATCTCTTGAAAGCCAAGGTATAAGACGATGCGTACAGCCTTGATACGTTTTGAAAACTGAGAGGCTAAAATAAAACAAAAACAGTTATTGACTGTAACTAAAATTATGTACATGCAACGATTCAAGACGTCTTAAACTTTAGGGAGCAGCACAAAGAGTTAGTAATAGTATACCTCTAACGATAATGTATAATCACACAAAACATGTTTAAACAACACTTTCAAATTCGTAATGATGAAACTTCTATAACGCAGACACCAACATTAAACAGACATATCCGTTCCTCGAGGATGTCCGCTAAATACAAGTTTGACTGTTTCACACTTTATCTTCTTATCCATCTGCGTTTGATCACTTTCATCTACTTCAAAGTCTTCAAACTTGCTCTTTTCCATATATCAAATAAGGACTTAGCTACATTTTACGGTTGTTTGAGTATCGCTGACAAAACATGCAATTTCTCTAGCAGAAGGCTTTCGTTTCGTAATAGATAGTGTTGCATTATCAACTTATGGATTCTTACTGATATTTCTGAAACGTTGTTTATGACCACAAGAAGTCGATGTCGTTCGTAAGTTGAAAGCGTAAACTTGCCTGTAAACGTTTTAGACGTAAAAAATTAAACGAGGAATCTATAACGAAAAAAAAACACGACAGACATAAAGTATGTTAAAAATAAAAAGTATAGCGACCTTCTTTCTATTCCTTTAACTTTATTCCTTGAACGTGTAGTGTGCCGTCTAACTGATTGCTCTCCTCCCCAGGCCACACTCGGCCGTCTTCGAACGCCGCTATTAATGACTCTATTCTGTATATGAAAACCAACAGATTGAGGCTGAGGACTTGTTGCACTCGATGCAGATCTGGTAGTTCGATAACGAAACCTACCATTCAATGGAAGAATTTGATATCTAATAAAACTTGTTGCACTTAAAAATTTTATTTGAGTTTTACTCAACCTTTCACCACGTTCGTTGAATCCACGTTCATCAAAAGATGGAATGTGTGAATGACTTCCACGAATATTCTCTTTTTTCTTCTCTTCTTTTGCAATTATGAACTGAAAATTCATTTGATATATTTCATAAGTGGAAATCATCTGATTACGCTTACAAAAAGTAGGTGTTTCATTTGCCGACCCAAGAGGGGCGTATTCTCTCTGAAAGGTCCTTCCAGAAATACTTTTCATCTTCAGTAATCATGCAACAGCTCAATTGTATGTATTTAGCAATCCAGTTAGAATTGCTAGGAATGAAATATATTCCATAAAAACGAAATTTAAAACTACGCACGCTGACCAGAAATCAACAACAAATTTCATCCAAAGAGCAAAATACAGAACATCACAGAACAGCCAAAAAAATATGGGGCTTGGGAAAAATTTCGTCCCAGTATCCTATGACATCAAGATTTAACATTTATGATGTCAGAAAGTCAAAATAATTATGATTGTCTCTCTTTTAAGTTGGGGCTCCTTTACATGTTACAAGTCCTGAGTAAAATAACCCCCTTAAACCAGTCTTGGCAGGGCTGTCTAATGGCAGATTTAGGGTACATCAAAATAAATGTTCGCAGCTCAATTTTGGATATTTTTATAGTTCCAAACACCTAAAAGGGTAAATTGATTAGTGAATTTCAATCTTTAAAAATTCAAAACCAATACTTCTGTTTTGTAAAGGTACTTTGAATTTAAGACTGATTGCATGTATATAAGTTATTTTGAATGACTCAGTGACCCTTGATTGTCTACTAAGCCTGGCTGTTCATATGTACATGTATGTAAGTTATTTTGAATGACTCAGTGACCCTTGATCAACTACTGGGCCTGGCTGTTCATATACTTATTACCTGTTCATAATCTTGCATTGATTTCACTTTGTGTATAATAGACGCAAATCCTGCTTTACAAAGTGGACATGTTTGAACAACATCACACCATTGCAATATACAACAAAAGCAAAATGAATGTGCATCAATGTTAAGGATATTGAACAACTATGTGCTTGAAGATATTCTATTCTAGTGTTCTACAATGTGATTATCATACACTGAGATGCATACAAATTTTCTTCAATAAATAAAATAAGAAAAATAAAAAGCAACTTAACCAACATCATTTAAATCCTACCCAATGAAACTAAGGCTTCAAATATAATTATGGGTCAACTAAACCGATTAAGAATGAAATTAAAGGATATGAAAACATTGATCAAGAAATGATCTGTCTTCAAATGAACTCAAGCAAATTGGACATGACTCCTTTTCCCGATCTGATTTTACAACGGATTTATTTGAGATATTTTTTTCATCTTCAACCTGACCACCCAATGCCTCGTTGTCAGCGTTCTCAAGCTCCGTTTTCCGACATGGTTCTTTTGTTGGTTCTATTTCTAATCCCACATGATTGTGGTTTCTCGAATCAGGAGAATAAGCAGAAAATGACTTTTCACTATTATCTGGCGAGTAAGAGATTCCACAAGGTAACTCAGTCCAGTCGCAATCATTCATTTGTGGCGTTAGTCAGCGAATGAAAAACAGAATTTAGAAATCTTATTATTTTATATTTTATCACCGTAAAGTATTTTCCTCACTGATTCTTCCCACTGAATTCTATAATAACTCATTGATTTTTATAGAACTCAATGATTCTTCCATTTTGAAATGCCAAAGTACTAATTTCAATTAACCACAGGGAGGTTCCGACGTGCCGTTACTGTTTATGATGTCACATGGTACACTATATGATCCAGGTGAGCAAATTAAAACATGAAACATATTTAAAAACATTGACAAATGTCAATCGTACAGCATTACTAAGTTTGAGATTGACTGCGCGCCTTTCTCTCGTTGACATTGTTTGGTTAGTACTTTATTCAATTTTCTTCGTTTGGTTTGTAATTTATTCGTAATTGCTTTCTTGTCGTTAAATGTCTGAAATTGAATTTTCACACTTAAAACAACGTGATCAATTCGTTTCTATTATGCCTTTTAACCACTTCATGTTTACACGGAAGCATTGTAAATGCCCACTTATCATTTTAACTTTTATGTTGCGCAAAATGATCGGCCAAATGGCAGCTATGGACAATTTATAATACCTACACTCTCAGATAATGTAACTGTATTTCTAATTTATTATACCTACACTCTCAGGCAATATAACTGTAAATATTGTCAAAATAATGAGTAATTTTACCTTCCAGTGAAAATGTTTTCACATGCTGCAATGGTAAGGTTTGATGACAATATCATTCCAGCTGTGCATGTCATTCCTGTTCAAGCTCAAAATTTATTTGCAAATGGACCAAATAACTGTGAAACAGTTTACAAACAAGGTACCTTTCTCCAACTGTTTTGAATTAATCATAGAAAATGTGTAATACAATCATTTATGATACAATGTGCTCATGTAGATTCACCTTCTGGAAGTCATGCCGAAAATTTTAAGGTTCTTGCTGAAAGAAATGGAATTAAAGTTGTTGATCCCGAAGTTTATCCCAAAATTGAAAATGGACTCAATGAAACGTCTGTGGTTACACCGAGTATGTTTTTTTTAAATGATTCATCCCCTAAGATCAAACAAATCAATAAACCAATTTTTTACTCAAAAATTTTCAATGTTTTTTTTTGATGTTGGTGATCAATTCATGTTGGTAGGAAATATTTTATTATCTATTTCATTCTGGGAAAACAGAATCATAGTAGCAACTTTCCCTCACAGTTTACAATATTTTATCATTCTTTATGAGAGAAGAATTTTGTGAATTTGTCCATTGTTTTTCCTATCCAAATTGTATTGATCTCTGTTTGTAGATTTATCTGCTGATGCTGCTGAGTTTGTTCCAAGATTCCCAGCATCCTCATCTGAAGAGAAATTGTTTGACATGGTTCAACAACTCCTAGAAGAGCAGAAACTGCAGGCTCAGATATTACAGGATTGCATAAACAATCAAAAAGAAAGCGAGACAAAAAATGCTAGTCTGCATAAAGAGAAATCCATGTTGCAGAAAGCATTTAAAGTAATGTAATATTTAATACTCCAGGACAACACAACTAAAATGGAAAGCAACACATACAACAACACATGCAGCACCACACAGACCTAAACAGTGCAACTCATACAGCAACACACAGACCTACACGGTGCAACTCATACAGCAACACACAGACCCACAGTAACTCATACAGCAACACACAGACCTACACAGTGCAACTCATACAGCAACACATACAGCAACACACAGACCTACACAGTGCAACTCATACAGCAACACACAGACCTACACAGTGCAACTCATACAGCAACACATACAGCACCACACAGACCTACACAGTGCAACACATACAGCAACACATACAGCAACACATACAGCAACACACAGACCTACACAGTGCAACTCATACTGCAACACATACAACAACACACAGACCTACACAGTGCAACTCATACAGCAACTCATACAGCAACACACAGACCTACACAGTGCACCACTTACAGCAACACATACAACAACACACAGACCTAAACAGTGCAACACATACAGCAACACATACAACAACACACAGACCTAAACAGTGCAACACATACAGAAACACATACAGCAACACACAGACCTACACAGTGCAACACTTACAGCAACACATACAACAACACACAGACCTAAACAGTGCAACACTTACAGCAACACATACAACAACACACAGACCTAAACAGTTGCAACACATACAGAAACACATACAGCAACACACAGACCTACACAGTGCAACACCTACAGCAACACATACAACAACACACAGACCTAAACAGTGCAACACTTACAGCAACACATACAACAACACACAGACCTAAACAGTGCAACACATACAGAAACACAAAGAGCATCAGATAGAGACAATTGCATAGAGACAATTAGTTAGGTCTAAAAGCACATGAAAAACAGACAACCGACCCTTTGTCATTTGTACACTATCATACATGTAATGGATTGATCATCAAAAAGAAGTCAGGACCATCATTGGGCAGAGCGACTAAATGTAATTATTGCAGTACGGACAATTTTTTGTTTATTTGTCAAAATTTAGGCAGCGACAGATGAATTAAGAAAATGTCAAGAAAGAAATACTATGTATGGGTTATGATTGATGAAATTCAAACATAAATATTGTTGACAGCAATTCGACTTTTTCTAATCGCTAGGCTTAGCAAGGAAGTCGACGGTTTGACTGACAGACTTCTAGAATCCGAACAAACAAATGCAAGGTGCGTGCATAATGTTAAAGGTATAAATATTTGAGCTTTTCAAAGATTTCCCCATGGTGGGATTGGATTTCTTGTGCGCTGAAATCATTTTCTCAACCTTCATACTGCTTTCCAGCAAGAAATTTTTACCGTGTTGAACACGGTATTTGATAGTTTCACATGTTTACAGTACAATAGATTGGTTGCACGGAACTAACATGCTTTCTTTCTTTCTCGCGCAAGAAACTATGGAGTTCATATATCAATTCCAATCAGTATAACGCCATTTATATAAACGAATTTTTAAAACTTAACTTTATTATGTTGCACAAACGCTTTCTCTTCTCTCGCTTGCGTACAAACTTCTGTTACCCAGTCTTTGCAACTAGATCTCTTTTTGATCCACTGTTTCTGTTCATATTTTATCTTGTTTAAACTTAGCGTACATAATAAATTACTTTTGTCAAAACTTTTCATTCTTCCCTACGATGTTTGCAGATTGAAAAAGCAAGTCGAAGCTCTTCTTGAGAAAGTGAAATGGAACAAAGCAGCTTTTGAAAGGTTCTTGAGTTAAAATTATTGTTCTATAGCCAATAAGGGTGCAAGTATATGCAATGTTATTTGCAAATGTTGTAGTAGGGAGCTCATTCATCTTACAATCTATTCACAGCTCATCCCTCATCAAACCCATAAATATATCTATATTGTTTCCATCAGGCTGAGATTTTTTATTTATTTTTCCGCCGCAGATGCATTTAGATGTTGCATTGAAACATCAATTTGGTTTTCTTCTCATTCCATAATTGCCGTTCTCATTTTTCTTCTTTAGCGATGAAGTAATGATGTCATCTTCGTCTAAGAAAATGAAAGACGTCAATTCTGGAAAACAAATGTCAGCAGTTACAAGTTTTGTTTTGACGGTTTATTTTGTTCATCTTTTAAATATCTTGTATCATATCAATGTGCAGGATCATAGAGGAGGATTATGAAACAAACGCTGAAGAAAAACACTCTTCTTCATCAATTCCAAATAGAAATGAAACAGAAAGAGGAACTATAATGGATACATTGGATGATGTAATTTCTGACTCAAACATTGAGAATGAGTGTAGTAACTGGACTGTGGCGAAGAGAAAAATTAAAGGTTGTACAGCATCGAGTAAGTCTGCTTAACCGTTGCATACAATAAAGAATAACTTTTAAGACAACCTTACAGTTTCGATAACAACATGAAGCAGGGCTGGATTAGCCACTCGGGAGGACTGGGGACCACCTTATGCTGGATGGCCTTTTTTTTACCACATTGTTGAAAGTCCTTTGCACCTCTAAAACGCAAATAGACATTCATTTCACTTGAGATTATAACTGGCCTCTGTCCAAGGTCTGGCGCTGGTCGATGTTCAACACCATTAGTCCATTGTTATTACTGACATTGGACTATTTCTCCTGTTGTCGTCACTTGTATTATCAGTAAGCAATTTGACTAATCAGGTGGGCGATCCCTTTTCTCTTGTTTTGTTGGTGGCCAAGGACCCTGATCTATTATGTCCACCCCTTAATCCGGCATTGACATGAAGCATATATGAATTGCACTAGCCAACTCTCTAATGGTGTTTACTAAGTTAGAACAAAAGCCAAAAGAAGATACTGCTCAACATGAAGAATTGGGAACTAATAAAAAATCCAATTCATTCTTCACTAATAGCATAAATCGACGAATTGTGAATATAGCTTGCTAATTTTTGATTCTTAGATACGAGCAACAAGATTGAATCTCTAAATTGTTTAGATGTTTATCAGCCAAGTGAAATTAATACAGAAGACCGTGTCAATTTTTTTCAAATCTCTACTGAGAATATGTCTGGCCCAATTTGCCAATCCATACTTTCACCAAAAGCTCGACTCGTTTTTTAGCTCCTTGACCCAACAGCATGTCGTGAAAAGTCAAAACAAATCTAATATTGCCTAAACAAACACTCCAAATCAACTATATTGCGAACCTTTCTGGATTTCTTATCAATTCCTTGAATATCAATTGTTCACCTACGCCACTTTTTTATTTCATATAGTCCCACATAAAGACGAGGAGAGAAATGTTTTGCAATCAATCAAACAAAGTAATATTAATAACATGGCGCGGACCAAAGATGACTCAAGTCCCTTTGTACTGTTGATGAACAAACTGTCGCAGACATTTCCGTCGAAAACGAGGCAAGAAAACAACCATTTTTCATGCGATATTCCTTTTCTCATCGCAAGCATTTCAATCTTGTTTCGAAATTATCTTTATCGAGAATTATCTTTATTGACTGTCGTAGAGAGGAACTTGTCGAGTTGTTAAAGATAGCCAAGGTCACTTTCGGAGATAAAGGCTTTAGAGGAAAGAAAATAGAAGAAATCGTTAAGCGAGTTAAGAAAATCACTGTTTGAGTACATAAGCAGGTATCATTCAATCTTCGACAATGATTTGCAAGCGTTTAAATATACTAAGACTACGTTTACACCACGCCGGAGCGAAAAAGTGACGGCAAAATTCGACTGCGTTTACACGTTTAAATTCCGCTGTCAAAATTCGTTAGTTGTTTGTGAAAGATGGCGCCATTTCTTATTTTCATATTGCTAGATGTTTATAGGTCAAAACAATGATTTGTAATAATTACAACGACACCAGTCTTAAAAGCTTTCCAAAACATAAAATGTTCCCCATTTTCAACTATGCGCTTCAGACCGATCCGGAGTAGTGTAAACGTAGTCTAAGTAGACAAGCTGCACTTTTAATCCTCCTTTTCATACTTACGATATAACTGCTAAAACATTAAATAGACTATTGTTAAAAATCGACCAACCTAACACGAGCATATTCATCATTAAAGTTGCATCCGAGTCCAAGAATATTTCACTGGAGGATTAACTCGATGAATATCACGTTGGATATCGAATTTTTCATACCTTTTTTAGTTTACGCAAGAATGCAGAACACGCATTATTGTTTTATATAAAAGCCCATCTGTGTAAATCTTTAGTTAAAGTCGAAGAACATGTTCAAAATTTTCCTTCTCTCTCTCTCCGTCCTACATTGATGTTTTAACGATACGCTCTAAGTGATCCAAGAATATCGTCGTGGTTTACAAGAATTTTCAAAAGGTCATGAATTATTAAAGTTTGTTCAGACATGTGCATTGGAAGATAAAAGTATTTTTATCGAGTAGCTGTATTTCACTTTTCTTTATACCAAAAGTTAGCAACTCTGCTTCATGTAATTTCAAATCAAACGGACGAGAATATACTGAGTATGCTGCATATGCATAAGAATAGAGAAGGCGGTAAAATGCTGTTCTGATATTGAAGACATGTCGTTTCGCAGACACGTTTACGCTTAGCGTACCTACTTTTCATTATCATATCGATATCTAAAAAATTTGTGGTAAGCGTAATCGCGAAAGCTTAGAATTCGGACGCCATTTTGAAATGATTGATTGATAATTAGAGGGCTTATGACATCCAAAGATATTTCATCCTTTAATGACATGCATAATATTCAGGTATCTCTCTGTTCTGCTAAGTGATCATACGTGATTAACCATCTTTTTTGGTTAAACATTTTTCAGAGGTGTCATGTTTCGCCCAATCATGTAAATCTACAGACGAAAGTTGAAGTGTAGCAACCGCGATTAATTTGGTGCGCCTGGCATGACGGTCCACACTCTTGACTGGATATGATTACTCTAAAATTGCTATTTCATCTAGCCATAGCTATAGCTCATGTACTTTATAATTTCAGTCATACGGTTTTTGTTTCCCCAGGCCTGACGTAAGATTGAAATAAACTCGGCTAAATCATTGTTAACGGTTTTTCTGCGCAACGGTTAAATGTGATCTTGAAAGTGCCATAGGGACTATCGAAATACAAAAAGATAGTAGAAGAATAAGCTTCGTGTAATCAAATAATAAGTCTTTATAACACGACATGTACTTAAAATTCTTTCAGTTGATCCCGATATGATCGGTAACATTTCGACAAGGCTGACGGGACATTTTATCAAAGCGTTGTAGAAAGACTTTTGAAACTAAGTGAACATTCTTGGCGTTCATCCTATTGGACTTGTTAAGCTAGTGTATAGTAGCTACTGTTGCTAAATGGCGTGTGAAAAAGGATGCGTTGTTAAATGTTACTAATGCTCATTTTTGTTGTTTCGTTTTAATAGAGTCCGTGGATTTATGTCACTGACAGATTGGCCTAAATTGAGAGACACTGAAGGAAGAAATGTCCAAACAGCAAGGAATGCTACTTTTCAGCTGAGTTCATTATTTATTTACTGGCGGTTACATGAATGATGTTTTTTTGCGTTTTTGTTCACTTAAAGTCCATACAAGCTTGGCAATCAATAAATGACTTGTCGTGTTAGACGTTCTGTAAGGCTAAACTATCGCTGTATTGCAAACCAAAGAGGGAAATTTAAATCATAAAAACTTTACTAGAAAAGAAAAGAAACTTCTACAAAACAGATCGACGTTCTTGAAAATTTGTTCATACAATTACGTATGCATCCAGGAAAATTTGATATGTTCATAGTTCGGATTGTTGATAGTTGTGTATTTATTGTTATTTTGGTATAAACGAATGTACAGTTTCATTTGTTGTGCAGATATTGTTATTTCGCTGTACATATAGCTACTAATGGGTGTTTATTGTTTTTTACACACTAAAATTCCCCTGTATTCTTGTGTGTACGGTTTTGTATGATTGTAAAGTTCGTCTTAATTTGTTTCGTTTGTTCCACTTCTGATATTTTCCGTTGTGCATAGTTGACTTGTAGCTCAAGATTTGTTTCTTTTCTAATGCATGCAAAAGATTGGCAAATTCTTTTTATTTCATAAAGGCCATCATTCAATATGAGTTCGCACATTTTCTATTTACCAAAAACCTAAAATCTCTAGCTTTATTTTAATCCACCGTAAATAAACAATGTTTGAGAGTTTATTTTTTTCGATTGAAGTCATGAAAACATAGATAAACTAAATTCCCAGCGATTTAGTCAAAACAATGTTATCACTCATAGCATGTGTATGTCTTAAAGTTTAATTGATAATTTTCAATGCAATTTAAAATTCACTTAAGCGTTATAAGAATTGACTCGAAAGCAAAAAGATAACCACAAACACATTTTTTCACAATGTACATTAAAGTAAACAGTGTTTGCCGAGATTAATTCATAAATATTGCCGAGGCAACTATGTTTCTATTTGAAAAATAATCAAAATCCTATCTCCACGTTATAGGCTTGTATTACTACATTTGACATAATTGCATGCACATCAGAACGAATCTATATCATATTGTTGCTTCTACGTCAGCCATCTTGACAACATCTTTAATATTGCATTGTTTAAGATTTCATTGTCCGTTGTGTTCTTAGAGAAGTTGTGATTTATTTATGACATCGTTACCGCAAACAACACTTGATACCTAACGCGCTCTTCATATAACACAAGTGTCACACTTAAACACCATCACGCGTAATTCCTTACAAATATAAATTTTCATGGTGTATAAAACGGATTTTTCGTTTAATGAATGCACTCGAAACCTTGAAATGAAGTTTTGAATTTTATGAAAAATTTAAATTTACTTGTGGTATTACCCATGCAGGCAAATTGCCCAATGTCTTTTATAGGGCTTTATATAACGATATGTCGGTCTTATTCTCGACTTTCCTAGCTGGAAAACTTTTTTCAAATAAATGTATTCTTATAGTAGCTAACGAAGAGGTACTTTCATTTCGATTTATGTATAATCACCCTTTCTTGTACAACGTGCCAAGATACACACAATTATTTTCATTAAAGATTTTGATATTATATACTGTTTGTATTAAGTTGTTAAAATTAGCTATTTCGTTACTTTCGTCGTAAACATATATTACATATGCCTGTTGGTGTGAAATGCGTCTTAAGCTTGATCAATTTTTCAATAATATCATCAAGTTTGTTTGTGGTTTGTGGCTTACTTGAAGCTGGGATAGGGGTTTCAAAGAGACGCGGTGCATGTGGCAATTTAAGTTTGATAAATCATCGGTGAATATAGATTATTTCATTGCCTCTATATAGCACAACTTCCACTATATTATTGAGTGAGTCACCTAACGTGGTTTTTCCACTATCATTTGCTCCTTGGAGTTTATATTCTCAACGTCTTTTGGAAATTTATTTTTTTGATATTTCTTATCATACACAGTTGTTCAATCTTTAAAAAATATGATAAAGAGCACTGTCTAGTACATAGACTTCTTCCGTTAGCTTGCGAGTTGTTATTACCAGATAAAAACTAAATGAATACCAGTATGTTTTACCTATAATGTAGTTGAATTGGATAAACTATTTTTTATGGCTCAAACATCACTTCACTTTCAAACACAAAAGTGCATTTACAGATGAATGCAAACAACTTCTAGATCTAATGAATGAAAATTCTTAAAATTCCGAAAATCACGCCACAAAAATTAACGATGTCAAAACTTGAGCGGAGAATCTTCAATCATGAAAAAATATATTACTGATGAAAAATGGTGTCTTTGCTTTTAATAATAGAAGATCGTTAAAACTGTTTTAGTAAAAAAGTGTCAAGGGAAATGTTGTGGCCAGGAATCTCTTATCATAATAACAAATCAAAAGCCTAAACGAACAAATTTGATTTGTTAATGGCAGTGAATTACGGTCGTGGATAACAGCTGCTGGCCAAACTCGCCCTATTGAAATGGTGTATATTTAAAGCTGTATAGCACAAAGTTAGCGATATATTGTCTCAATGCAGGCCGACTGAAAGCTCCGTGAATCGTAGGCAGTACTGATCAAATCCAGTCAATTAATCTTAATTGCTGTAAATCTTTTTCAAGATTTAACGCATTTGCTGTACGTATTACCCGAAGATAGAGAAGTTACGATCATCTATAATATACGGTATATGTAGATCTTTGCATTTCCACGTCGCTATTTAAATTTTTTCGTTAAGGTATGAATTTTACGAAAAACAAGTTGTGTTAAAACGATATTGCTTTCGTTTTCCCTTCAAACTAAATGTATTTCTGGATATATTTATAATTTTTAAAAAATATACGTGTTAATAGACTTGTAGTTTTTAGGAATGTCTTCATGAATAAGTACACTAAAAGGAAATTATGTAAATATTATTTCGACAGACTGCAACAATAACAGTTTTTGGACATATTTTTGTGTTTGAAAATGAACTCTCATGAAAACAGTCCTTCATTTATCTGATCATTTTATAATCATTTTATCACGCGCAACCACTTGTGTGATTTTGATGAATTTTTATACATTGTCGACGTACAGGGAGTACAGCGAGACACAAATTCAGATAGAGTACTGCATTTTCAATGCTATGTTGGCCTAATTTATAACGTGTTTTAAACAAGCACGTTAACGTATATGTAATAGAATTGGAACTTGCGCGAAATTCATGCAGTAAGAACGAACTTTTTAACGGTTAATTCATAGCTAATGAATCAAAGCTTTATAAACTTCTCAGTTGTATTAAATGCCAAAGTATCTGAGATGTTAAATGAGTTCACGCGTTGAAGTTTGTTTCCAGCTGCAAAAGATCAATTTGTTCTAAATGAAATCATCTTAATTTAATTTCAATTATAGTATAGTCGATCGTTTAGTAATGCTTTTAATGAAAGCGATGTGTATAGTTGTATAAAAATAGCTTCGACAAGTAACAAATATATGATACAGTGCAATGGCGGTAGATGGACTGCCTTGTTAAGTATAGAAACGCTCTTAAACAAAAATAGTTGACGCCAACTGCTGCTCCACGTCAATTCATTGTTCATGACTCAATTTGTTTTACACGAATTTAGAAGAATATAACACGGAGAGCGATATAAGAGGGAAATACTAAGACAAGTGATTTCAACTTTATGTGAAAAAAAAGCAGATCATTTGCTCAGATCAATGCGGTACTTTTCATTTGCAAAACCAATACGTAGCTACAAATAGTCGTAATGACGCAATAATTCACATTTGAGGAGCTAGGGTTTACACTGCAATCGTACGACTTATTCTTGTGTTGTATTTAAACTTGTTTCAACTTTTAGTCTAGATAACATTAATAGATATATAAAGTAAAGTAAATATTCTATCTGATCGCAAACTTTTCAAGCCACTTTTCTTTTATAAAAAAAGCCATTAAAAATATTCAAAATTTGACATTTCCATGCCTACGAAATTGGTAAGGTAAAAATACCTCGGTGAGGTGCTAGGATTATACACTGATTTACAGCCCCAATAACATTAATAATTAAAATTTTTGAAAGACTTATTTAGTCGGCATGATTAAACAGATTCTGTTTGGAACCTCATACATAAGAAATGTAAAATAATGCTCATTCGCAGTTCTCTGGTTTTCTATTCATTATTTATATGGCTCGCGTTTAGTAGCTCATTTATCTTCGAGAATCTCACCGCGAAACAACCGCATTTCAATCATCTACAGAAAACACTCTAAGCCGTGAAGGCCAGCTGCTACAAGATGTTTAACTTTGATCATTTTAATAACAATACAGTTTAAATATTGAACATAGGTGTTTCGTATACTAATCAATATATTATATATCAATTTAAATGGAAAATTACAACCCAGTTATTCATAACTTATTTTTGATATGACGCTCTCTCTTTCTCTCTCTTGCTTTAATTTTTATATAAGGATTCATAAGTGCTTGGGATAAGTACCGATTTTCTTGATATAGTGCGTTTTTTTGGCTCTCAGTCATTAATAAACGAGGCTCAAGATCAACCTTGATGCAACATTATATTTTCAAATTTTCATGTTTCCACACTTGACATCCAACATAGCAATATATACCTAGCGTTCAGGTCATCTAAATCTAATGCCCTTCAAACACAAAAAGTGAACTTCGAAGATCAGCGATGAAGCGTTTTCGAGTTTTTTTGAGACATTTCGATAGAACAGTCCGTGAAACATATACCGTCATTTTATTATTTACACATCTTCACTTTATATTCGTTTAAATTATACAATAGCAAAGCTTTTCAATTATTTGACATTAAATATCATACAAATTTTCGTTTTTGTTGTAAATCAAAGTTCAAATGCGTTCCTTTAATGAAATAAAATTGTAAAAGTATGACAAAGCATTAAACGGTTCATGAACAACATGATTAGTGGGAAGTCGAGTAGGTAATTAACATCTTTTTCTTTACTTGTAGTGATAGGTTTTACACAATTTGGGAAAAACAAAAATGGAAAGTCGACTGTCATTAGGCTTCTATCAGCATTTTTTTACCCTGGCAGATGTAGACAATTCCCTTTACGGATATGTGAAGTCTGAAATGAAGGAAAGTCGTCTGTCATACGCCATGTCTGGTAATTGGCAGAAATCAGCTAAAAAAGAACCGGGTAAATATATAGCTTTGTACAGGATTTATTTCAATAGCACGTGCTTATAACGTAGACATTGTGAATTAAAGCTATAGATGTGTCAATGTATATGGAAAGTGGAAAATTGGCGAATAGAGTTCCAAGAGAGGCTAAACCACAAACATCCATCGGTAACACGAAACAATGTATTGACGACGAACTATGTTTACCTGACGGTATAAAGGTGGTTGAAACCAGTCTTGTTAATGTATCTCACTTTGGAGTTTTTTGTTGTGCCAAAACGATAAAGAAAGGGACGCGATACGGACCTTTTACTGGTCGAAACATAACACCTGCTGATATCTTTTCACTTAATGACACATCGTGTTGTTGGGAGGTAAGAATCCATTTTATGTATACATGTATGCCTTTACTGATAAAACTCATCTTAATTATGATATTTTAATTCTTATCATTCTTGACGTATGCTTTTTCTGTTGTTTTTGAAATGAAAATTTTGATTTGAATATAATAAATTTCGTTTGATGCGTTTGACAATATTTCTCGGGGAAATTAAGAACATCTGTTTTTTTAGATGGTTCAGAAAGTTGACCATAGGAACAAAAAAATTATTCTTAGTAGCAAAAGAGCTGCTTCATTTAATTCCCAATTTCTTTCTTGTTTCAAGGTATTTCACGAAGGCGAGGTGTCTTATTTCATTGATGGAAAATATGAGTTAAAGAACTGGTTGAAATTCGTAAACTGTGCAAGATCCGAACGTGAACAAAATCTGATAGTTGTACAAGATGGCTTTCGTGTTTTCTTTGAAGTAACCTGTGATATTTTTGAAGGAACAGAGCTGCTGGTATGGTATGGCGATTCTTACTTGAAGTACATGGGATTACCAATTACAATGAAGGAAAAGATATCTCCACAACTTTTGTCAAACCTCGGTTAGTGTCAATGCTTTTGTAAATTGAGGAAATTGTTATTACAAAATTTGATTTTTACATTTTCGCTGATGCTGTTGTTTTCCCAATACGTTTGCCGGAGAGTCTAGATTTTAGGACTGAAGAGATCGAGATTCCTCCTTCAATGATGAAAAATTTGACACCATCATTGTGTAGAGTTTCGCGTTGGCTTAAATTGTCAATTGCACAATGAAATCTGTGAAATAGTGAAGATAACCTTAGAATTATTGACAAAAGCATCGAAGCAATTGATAAATTTTTGAATTGTATACATTTGTAGGATATAAATGGATAAAGACACTATATTCCTTTTATAGGTGGTGGAAGTTGGCTTAAGTTGGGGGGAGGGCTGAATCTTGGGGTAGTGGGGTTCAAATGCACGAAGAGCCTCAAGGATGGGAAGACCGTTAAAGTGCTTAAGATCAAAAGGTTAAAAATGTGCCTTCCCAGTTTTTGCAATATAAATAGAGATATTGGAGAATGCTAACTGTATAATATCGCAATGCTCCAGTTACCCAAACCTCCCTCTCCTTTGAAAAACACAATAACACTTTTAATCTTTTGATTTTTCATTCTCAATCAGATTGTTTAAACAACAAGAGTAATAGCTCAAGTCAATAATATATTTACACTAGAAGGCGAACGTTTATACAAAGTTGGGGGGGTTGAGTCCACCCCCAGACCCCGGACCCCCTGTTATGATTCTTTTGAATAGTTAAATGATGAAGAATCATGAGTATAGCTAGCAATGCAGCTCTTCTCATTGCTTCCTAGTAAAAATCTTTCAACAAAAATTTTTTTTAGTTTGTTTTTAAAATAAATTGGTCTATAGCCGTTGACGTTTTGCATTTATTGAGTTCATTGTCCAGTGGATGATCCGCTGTATTTTTGTTGAGATAAACGCGTGTTCCCCGGTGATTATGTAATTTCATTTATCTATTTATCTTTATAATTATCAATTACTATTTATTATATTCAATGATTGCGAAGTTCGTTTGTAGCAGGCGATTATTAATTAAATTTTGCTATCAAATTATCAATCAAGCCAAAAACTTTTATTTCGGTTTCACATTGGCAGGCATTTCCATTAAATACTCTTTTTTACTGTAATCGTCAAGTCTGCTGTATTTCTTTTATAACATTTTAGATAAAACAGCTATGCCTGTGATCGTTGTGGAAAAGTCTTTGCTTACGAATACTATCGAGACAAACACCTGAAATACACGCGATGTGTGGACCAAGGCGATAGAAAATATCCTTGCAATCTTTGTAATCGTTCATTCGAAAAGCGAGATAGATTGAGAATTCACATTCTGCATGTTCACGAAAAGCATCGACCTCATCAGTGCTCAGAATGTGGCAAACGTTTCTCTCAATCTTCCAGTTTGAACAAACATCTTAGAGTTCATAGCGGAGAGAGATATAAGTGTCCGCACTGTCCCAAAGCATTCACAGCATCTTCGATTTTGAGAACACACATTCGTCAGCATAGCGGAGAGAAGCCTTTCAAATGTCGTCATTGTGGTAAAGCTTTTGCCTCACACGCGGCACATGATAGTCACGTGCGCCGCACCCATACAAAGGAGAAGCCGTGTGTGTGTGAATATTGTGGGAAAGCATTCGCTCAATCCTATGAGCTGAAGTTTCATTTAAATATGCACACAGGCGACAAGCCTTATTCATGTGAACGATGCGGTAGAGGCTTCTCGAGTCCTTCATCAAGAGATCGTCATCGTTCCAACTTTGACTGTACCACACGCAAGAATCGTGCACCCAAAGTAATGAAACATCCTACAACAACAGAAAATGGTGATGAAGTTTCATTTATAAGACCTGAATCATACTGATAGACATTCAACTCCATGACAAACAGCGCTTTTTAATTATTTTAATTGCAAGCGTATTAAAACATTGAGTTTAGTTTGAGAATCGACATTGGTGGCATTGAACAAATAAAACATTGCAACTTGCATCTGCCAAGAACTGATAGCATAAACTACATCCAACATGAGCCGACAATTTTAAAATGTAGAAGAAATGATCGAAAATTAAAACCTAATTTTATTCAAATATTGAATTACCTATTTCCTAAGATGCCATATTCTTCGGAATCTACTTTTTCTTCTCACTAGCACTAGAAGGCAAAACTGGCATCACAAATAAAAATATTATATTGTGTAAAACAACAAATTGTGTGTGAATTGTGACAAGTTTTGTCTTAACAAAATTTTTTATCACGAATCTCCACGATGAACTTTCCCAAGGGACGACGCTCATTATTTGATTGACAGAAAAATAGATGACCGGGTACGCTTATTGGTTCATTACTCTCGAGGGAATCAAAACTGAGCCAGTGGCATGCTTATATTAGTTTAAAGTATTGAAAGTTGCCGGTATGCTGCGTGTGGAAGAAACGAAAACTACGGTAACTAATTTTATTTTCTGAACACTGCCACGATGCAAGAGCGAACATCTCCTGTGGGAAATGAAGTAAACTTTGCTAGCAATTGCATAAATAGAGGAAAAACCAGGTGCGTATGGCTTCATGGCGTTGGTTATAAGTTTAGTCAATTTTTTTAAGTGTAGAAACTTTAGACTCCCAAGGGCATTACTTTCTGAAATAAAAATAACTTGCTCCGTCGGGAAGTGAAACTGATCAATATCATCTACTTGCAGCCCTCTATCCAGAGTTGATTTTACTGAACAACCGCCAAAGACTGTCCGAAAAAGCAACTTTTTTTCGTTTGTCTTAAAACTGTTCGACTCACGGAATCAGCCGATAGTGGTGGACTACGCTAAATTTAGCGATTTTATCGAACAGGTTTTGAAAATTTTGTACATGAATTTGCGCTTGGAATGACGGTGTTGTTTTAAATCTCAACCTAATGGTACCCTGAATTAACAAAAATCGTCAACGTTCAACACGTCATTCATATAATTTACAGGACCAGAAAAAGTGTAATGGAATTTGTTATTTCCTAATTTTGACGTGTAATGCAGGTACATTTCTCGATGTAGTATATTGATTTTTGATAAGTATGGACGTGTGGGTGATTAGATTACATTTTATAGGCTTGAAATATGAACAATTTTTGGACATTCGTTTGGTTGATTCAAATTCAAAGGAGGTATAAGCCACTGAATATTTGTGAAATCTTTAAAATACAACTGAAAGATTTCAACCCTTAGCCAACAAAATTTTAATTACCAGAAATATTTTCTATAAATTTGTGTATAAATGAGCAATTGTGTTGTGATGAAGTAATTCAGTAGATCATGACTTGTCTCCTGTCCCATTGTATTAGCTAATTCTTTTTGTTTTGTTTAATGGGTAGATAATCCAATATGAGGGTCAAGACAAAAACCCTCATATGAGAAAAGTGCTTATCACTCATGAAGTTAATTGCAGGTTAATGAAATAATCTGACCTGATTTTGTATTTGTTGAATAATTTCATAAAACATTACACTGTCCATGTTTTTTAGCCGCTGCAATGAAAACAAGTCATGTGGTAACAGAAATGAAACTCCTTGTGATCCTACCATTGACAGGTAAGGTATATATTCATGTTTTCCACAGTGAAGAAAAGGAGTTTTCACAAAATTATTCATTGTTGTTATCATACATCTCTTGACAATTTCAAATTTTTATTACAATGGTTCGGTTTTTGATGGCAGTGCTAATGTTAGTATTGCATCACTTTTTTCACTGAGGTCTTTCTGAATAGTGTGCTGGCATATACTCAAACTTAAGTTATATACAAAATTATGTTTTTTGTGTTCAAATCTTCATTTAATTATAACTAATTTCTAATGGTTTAACTATACATTAACTAAAAGGGTAAACTTATACATTGAATGCTCTTTCAGAAGCAAATTTGGTGAACTCAAATTTTTTATGAAATGCAACCAAAACTGCTTAAAACAAGCAGGAAATCCTCGAGGAATGAGAAGGTTCCAAGTGATGGTCTCTATTGGAAATTTTGTTCTTGGCTATTCTGAGAATGTGTTTGTTCACAACAATTCCAAACATTCTCGGGGAAACAAAGTTAGACACTTGGTAAAAGACATAAAACTTGATGGTAAATAAAATGTATAAAATATTTTGTTCTTACATTGAATGTATTCTTAATTCATTGAATATTTTATCATTTAGCATATCCAATGATTAAGGCTATATGTCCATGTGAAGGATTGACTTTAGGTGGAACTAGTGTTCTTGTCATTGGTGATAATTTCTTTGAGGGACTTCAAGTTCTATTTGGTCCTGCAGCTGCTTGGATTGAGGCGAGCAGTGACAATTTTACTTCATTCTGCTTTAAATATAGCATCCTGCTAAATATAGCTTTGAGTTTTATTTTAGATGATAAGTCCCACCATGATAAATGTCCTGGCTCCACCCAATTTTACTCCAGGTTCAGTGGATGTAACCTTATCGTATCTCGCCTCACGCTTCTGTACCCAAGCTCCAGGAAAGTTTATGTATTTAGGTAGCGAGAGTTCATCACAAATAGTTTAGTGTTGCACTTGTGCACAGATGTTACAAGTGTTGGTTTTTAATTCTCGGTTCATGTGCTTAATTTATTTGATGCGTTTCTTTAATTTTCCTTTTAAACAGCTGAACCAACTTTGGATTTTCAATTGAACAGATTGCAAAAACTTACAAAACATGTGGGTGATCCAGAAAATTTATCTAAGGTAGAACGAAGTGTAGATAATTTTCTTTGACCGCTTAGCTTTGAAATTTTTCCAAAAGGGCTATGGTCAGCTCAAAATGAAAGCAATTTTTGCCAGCTTTCGGTTTAATCTGCTTAAAATCATCATTATTTCAAAATTTATCACGTTTGAACGAATCTCGTTAAGAGTAATCATTCTCTTGTTCATCCCATCTACGCAGATCCTTTATCTGAGGAAAGTCTTTTTTTCAGGAAATAATATTGAGAAGAGCAGCAGACGTTTTAGAAAATATATACAAACCATTGCCGAATACACCAAGTAGTGGATACATTGTGGACGGTACAACGTTGCCCAATGCAAGTGTTCATTCTTTGCCCAGCGTTGCTACACTGGCTCAAGCAAGAAATCCAGGTTTGTTGTTTTAGTACATATGTGTACTTGAAATACTCATGCTTTGTGAAGATTGGCTAGTAAGGCTGTTTTACCTAATACAGCTGATGGGATTGAATGCAGCTAGCTTAAGTTTTTTGTTGTCCTCGTTAATGCACTTCATCATTGAAACATGTTCATATATTCCAGGATCAATGCAAGATCCCAAATGCCCGCTGTTGCACTAAACCGTACAACTCCAGATATGTTAGACTGTAGAACGACAACTTTGTTACAAACAAGTAAGTTCTTTGGTCTTCTTCAACTTATAGTCAGTAAATATTTGACGTTTTTTACGTAATTCAATAGAAAATTTTGATTGTTTCAGGTATTGTATGTTAGAATGTAACCCAGTTTACAATAAAATGTAACCCAGAACCTCTTTTTTGCGTTCTACGCAAATCAGAAATATCCATGTCGTGTTTGTAAGCACTTTGAGCTTGAATCTTAGATGTATATATTCATGTGCTCGGGCAATAAACATGTCTCACTTTTATTTTCAATCCGTATTTTAAAAATTGTTTTAACTGTCGTAGTACTATAAAACATGCTTTGTAATGTTTACTAATGACATGCCTGTTTTCAACAGCAAGATATCGGTATTGATTGAATTTATTGTATTGCTTCAACAAACTTGTTAATAATTCACAAACTTCTACGTTAAGAGGCTTGTTACAACTTTGTTAACAACCATGACATTGTCAGTTGTTACGTTAGAGTTACATTGGTCTTCTTAGTTGTTATTAGTTGTTACGTTTGAGTTACGTTGGTCCTCTTAGTTGTTGTTAGTTACGTTAGAGTTACGTTGGTCCTCTTAGTTGTTAGTTGTTACGTTAGAGTTACATTGGTCTTCTTAGTTGTTAGTTGTTGAGTTAGAGTTACGTTGGTCCTCTTAGTTGTTAGTTGTTACGTTAGAGTTACGTTGGTCCTCTTAGTTGTTGTTAGTTGTTACGTTAGAGTTACGTTGGTCCTCTTAGTTGTTGTTAGTTGTTACGTCAGAGTTACGTTGGCCCTCTTAGTTGTTGTTAGTTGTTATGTTTGAGTTACATTGGTCCTCTTAGTTGTTGTTAGTTGTTGAGTTAGAGTTACGTTGGTCCTCTTAGTTGTTGTTAGTTGTTATGTTTGAGTTACATTGGTCCTCTTAGTTGTTGTTAGTTGTTGAGTTGGAGTTACGTTGGTCCTCTTAGTTGTTGTTAGTTGTTACGTTAGAGTTACGTTGGTCGTCTTAGTTGTTGTTGTTAATTAAAACATTTTTTTAGGTTTGCCCATGATGATTTTACCCAATGGTTTCTCGACTGACCCCCTAAAAAATTTACCGGGTGAGTCTATTGAGCAAACCAAAGAAAGTTGCCACTATAGTCATCCACTTTATTTTACATGAATATCTTGGCTGCAAAGGTAGATGCTTTTAATTGAACTCAAATGGAAACTCATTGATATCATCATTTATTTGACAATCATAATTTGTGTTTGTTCAAATAGTCTTGAGTTTACCATTATCACCTACTGGTTATATGTTAGCTTAATGTGAAGTCTTTGAATGTTTTTCCATGTAGAGTCCATGATCAAAGCTAGTAACTTGAAACCATAACTCACAATTATGCAAAACATGAAAATACACCTAATGTGTTCAGAGCAGAATAGAAAACAATTGGCATTTACTGAAAAGTTTTGCTTTGTTTCCTTGTTGGGGAAATGTGCACTTAGGACAGTAGGAAAATATTGATTTGGTGAAACCTTACCATAAAATTTGACTATGAAACATAACCAAACCTACAAAAATTTGTATCATGCAACTAACAGTATGAATTGTATCTCAAGCAATGAGCCATAATGGTGAGCCATCCTACTATAATTTACTGCCACGTGGAAAGAGGAAGCTTGATGACCTGCCAACCTTGTCATTCCCAATAAAGAAAGGCTGCATGGCACATAAGCATGTCACCAGCAGTCAAAATAAAGAAAGTCGTGTAATGTTTGTTTATTCCTCAAAGGACAATTATTTATTGGTTTTAAATTGTTGAGTTATTGTTTATGATTGTGTTTAATTTATCATTTTGTTTGTTATATTATCAAAGAAAATTGAAAAATCAAAATATATTTCGTTGATATTTGTTTGATTCCGAAATCAGTATATTCACCTTGGTCGTATCTCAAAGTCGTTATACGTAAGATGACCAGAACTTCCATTCATAATTACGTGTTTTTGGAACTTGAATCTGCTCTCTGTTTAAAGCTCAAGATAAACGAGTCAGTTGTAGATACATCTTTGCAGTATGTCCAGTTTCGATTGCGTCGACATTCAATGCCACACTTCTCTGAACCACAAGCATGGCAAGGAAAATGACATCCTGTACAATTTTTGTCTTGGCAGTCGCACAAATCCACATTGCCCGTAATCAATCTACCATTGCCATCGTGACACTTCGTCCAAAACTTGGGTTTACGACCACGACGCGAGCGTTTACCTTTCTCTACTATGGGAGTTACATTAGTGTTTGTATCGCTTATAAGTCTATTGATTTTCCTTAATTCCCTCACACTTTTCTCGGGATCAAATTCGGAAAACATTTGAGTTGTGGACCAGGATTTTTAAACTGTAAACTTTCAATAACTTTTTTAGCTTCTCCATCGGCATGATCGTAGGCTTGAACAGAGCGCTGGTGAAGATGACCTTCGTCTACTGTGGTCATATTTTATTGCTGTATTTTATTCTCGATGCAATGTCTGAATGAAAAATCAAATCTTGTGATTTAAATCCCTCGATCGAGGCAAATGAGTCATGGACGATTTTATTTTCACAATTTTATTACATGAAGTATATAGACGAATTATTCAAACGCGCTTCTTTCTATGAGAAAATGTGTGTGGTGGTTGTATGATGTGTCAGTGGTTCTAACCATGTTTTAACAAGCAAAAAATGTAATGCATATGTAAAAGTTAGGAAATGAGAATTTTAGTAGAAAAAAAAAGTTTGAAATTATCTTTCGTCATTTTGTAACGTCATTTGACATGCGTTAAAGGATCACAAAGACGTTACGCATAAAGCATTTTTAAAGATTTTTTACAGGTTTTTTGCAAAGATTGTAGCAGCAAATCTTGCAATTCCTTTGTATTTGTGTTCATATCGTTTCAACGATTTTGAATGGTACGTTAGTGTCTTTGATGAATGATGAACCACAATCTCAAACGCGTACAAACGTCCCTCTAACAATTCTATTTATCTTAGAAATTTTGTTAAAATACGTTTCAAAACAATTATTCCTTGCCATATTGCATTTTTAGATTGTACATGCGAAGAATGTCGAAAACTCGAACTCACAAGAAAATAGAATGTCGACGTGTCGACTGACACAGGAAAGTGAGGGAACCAAACTTGAAAATCCAAGAAATAAATACGAAGCATACTTTGGACTGTGTAAGTGACCAGTCCGGTATGCACTTTCATTGTCACTATAGTTGCTAAATGTAGTAGAAGTTTTGCGTCGTGGAGGGTATTTCTCAAGCGCATGTTATGACGTAATTATAAATTTTCTAAATCGTTGAGTTGGCAGAGCATCTATTTTCTGCTAAGTAGTTGACAGGTCACAGGGAAAAGCACTTAAGCATTACGAGCGCATTCGTACTAATAAGGAATATCTAAACTATAGAGACAATGATGAACTTAACTCCAAGTACATAGCCAATCTTTGTTAATCGCCTTAAATACGGGTGTTGCAAAATGGTTTGCTTAAGAAGCTCAAAGCTTGTCGAATTGATAGAAACCTGTCAGTCGTGCATGAACAAGTATCTAAATGACTAACAGCCTTTTCCTCGCGATCCTTTCAGTCATTTCAATGACAAACAAGTACATGGTTTTAGAAATAACATCAAAACTTAAACTGACATTTGAATTCACGCAGATAACGTGCTGTTGATAAATTACGATAAAATCAATCGGCCTCCTTCGTGACACGCCCTGTTGAGACAAGAGAACCAAAGAAAGACGAACGTTTTTCGTCACGAAAATGATACAATGAGGGCAAGGGAGACGATTCTCTGCTGAAAAAACTCACTTATATATTCATTCAACGTATTCATAGTTGATGACAGTTAGATAAGAGGAACACAGATTATTCTAGATGATGAACAATACAACTGCATCGAATATTTCCATGTCTAACTCTGAGGATTTAAGTGATAGAAGACTGCTTATTCAAATGGTCGTGCTTATAACTCTTATGGTTGTTGGTATTGTGAGTAACACGATCATTGTGTTCACCGGTACGAAAGGCCTATGTTGTATATCCGACTTCCAGAGGCGCCAGAAATATAACGCGTCGTTGATAACAAGCCTTGCTGTTGCAGACATGTTTATTCTGGATATTGCATTCCTTTGCATATAATGCAGGAATACAGGTTGCCGATGAGCTTGTTTGTATGTCGTTATTTAGTGCCTATGAGAGATGTTTTTGCACTTGTTTCGATTCTTACGATCACTGCTGTAAGTCTAGAAAGGTCGGTGGCGATAGGTCAACCTTTCTCGATGACAACGTCGCATAAGCATTGGATTGTATTGATATGGATTGTTTCCTATCTTGTAGCAGGGCTGCCAATGGTATTCGTCATGAACAGTATTCAAAATTCTTGTGTCGCAAAATGGAGAAGTATTCGTGAGCAAAATGTACATCAGGCATGTGCGTTTTTACTTATAATAATTCCAGGCATCATCACAACGTTGTCTTACATATTTACCCTAAGATCATTGCAAAGTTTCGAAAGCGTCGCCAGAACAGCAATGTAAATTCGGGCATACTAGATTGGTCATTCGTCAAACAAACACGCAGTATATCTAGTATTTCAATAACCTTAGTTGCCGTGTTTTGGTTATGTTGTTTGCCTTTGGTAATATACGCTATCGCCCACAGCTATAAGCTAATACATCCAACCATCGAGCAAATTCAATACATATGGGCTGTGTTAACGTGCATCTTCTACGTTGCTAGTGCTTTGAATCCGTTGATTCTTATAGCATTGAGTCCTCTATACAAGAAAAGCGCTTATGTCTGCCTTCAGTACTTTTTCAAAACATGCTGTTTATTAAGACAAATTATTTCAAGGGGGCCAACCATAGGACAAAGACTCCGAAAAGTAGCTTTGAGGAGCATCTTGCTCTTGGTGATGGAAATGATACATCCGAGAGAAATAAGAATCAATTTGCACTTGTACAAAAACAAGGATCACTGCATTGTTGAACGAATATAACATCAAATTTTTACGACAGACGTTCGCTTATTGTACATTCTAGAAATCTTATTTTTCCTTGAGGTAATGATAGAAATTATGTCCCATAAAAAGTAAAATGTATGATTCTATCTATGTACTGTCGTGCCATATATGCCACTAATATGAATGGCGTATCTACTGAAACGTAATTGAAAGATTTTATCACTTAATGCTTCTTATGGTGGACGAATGTAGCAGAATGATAATCTTTCGAAATTACCTACAGCCATGTTCTTAGTTTGGATGGCGTTACAAGTCATGAAAAATTATGTGTCTTTAATGCACGTCGTTATACAATATTCATACTTGAAAATGGTCCCAAACACGTCTTGTTAGCAGTAGTTACAATAATGTGCTTTGTTTGGGGGTTTTTTTTTCTTCAAAAAAAATTTAATTTAGTCAAGAAAATGGATCATATATATTAGTCATATATTGTTAAGTCTAGATAAAACCTGGAGAAAGGTCGCTGTTGTTTAAGAATGGGCAATGTTTGCGTGATAAAATTTGTTGTTATGGGAATCTAATTACATGACAAAGCTGTAAATAGCTAATTTATGTAATAAATGGTGCAATTAGCTGTTATTGTCAAACTGCGAGAAAAAATATAAACTTCTTAAGAAAACTTCTAAATTGTCTTTAGCAAAGATAATGCACTTATCCACCTACCTATAAACTGGTAAAATACTATTATTTGAAGCATTTTCAGCTATCAAAAGAGTTCTTTATCGCATTTACGTGCACGATAAAACTGCATAGTTAGATTTCTATGCATGTCTATCAGCGAGTATTTTATTAAACATGCAGCGCAAAAATGCTATAGCAATTCTGTATACATGTTGTGATGACAGATTGCGTGTTATAGTCAATTACGTCTCAAAAGTGCAAGACGTATTACTGCGTCTGCATTTCATTGATTAGAACTTTATGTAGCTACGTTAGACGGTAGTGTAGGTATGTTATTGCGTAGAAGTGATGTAACTTCAAACGACAAAACAGTTGTTTGTGGAAATGAAGTCATTTAGCAAATGACAGACTGTTGCAATAACAGATTACGTTTTGGCTGCCCTGGCATAGATAGCTGGGTAAATCTTGCTGGGAATAAAACAATAACTTCTACTAAAGAGTATTGTAGTCTTTGTTTTCCATAAAACAAAAATCTGTTCTGACTTATAAATACGAGATGGCGGGATAATAAAATTATTTAGTAAACCGACATTATACCTAGGAACATCTGTTTACGTTTTCATTGCAATACTTTCACGAAGATCAGCTCTTTCTACATCATTCTATTTCCAATCATTTTATCTCATGTTAATTTATGATTCAAAATCTGTAAAGGGATTGAAAATTTTCTTTGCTATGCAAAATTTTCTTCATTTCACCTTCATTTGCCCTCCCTTGCAGAAGGTGTGCTTCGTCAAGTTTGATTTTCTATAGCAAAACACAGTTTGCCATTTTCGTGCCAATTAACTTTCTTTGAACAAACAAATACACTAGCTAACGTCCGTATTCTAAAAGCTCACTCACACTCACTTAGGCTTCAATGTAATTCCATAAATATTCGAAGACGGTATTCTTACTCCTCTTATTGCCAAACTAGTATTTTAGCAAAAATCTCGAAATTGATGGAGAAATGAGTTTGTTTCGGCTGGTGGGAGCGCGATTTCTGTGTTGCATTTTTAGAAGACGGGCGTAACTCTCAAAGTAGTTATTATTTTAGTTACGTGAGATCAGTCGAGAAAGAATAAAAAAATCTCAATAATATAACATCCTGGTTTTAATAGCACACCATTGAAGGAAATAAATCGCAGGCCATACTTAGTAATTGGCTCAGACTGTTTTTTAGAAAATAACGCAAAATGCCTGGAGGGAGCAGACTGGAAGGCGAAGGGCGTCATTTGTTATCCAAATATGTTCGTCACAATAACTGTGTGGCAAACTTTTATACCGTGTGAGTATGTAGAAGCTATTTCTATAAACTCGAATTAGAAACTTGAAGATAATCGCAAATGTGGTTTTAGTAATGATTCAAAAATTGGTTTTACAGGTCACACGAGCAGACTGTACTGTGAAAATGTTTCTTTTTCAAACAGCTTTTAAAAATTAAAACACAACGCTGTTTCAAGTTATCAAATCTTGGATGAGTTCTCAGACCACTTAATTTTTTAATGGATTATGACAGGCTGATCACATTAAGAAAATAGTGCAAGCCAGGCGAGTTAAAAAAATGGTAGCATGGTGAAAACGAGAACAAATCTTTGAGCTCATGTGATTTTTAGCTTGCTCAGTGTCAATAATTTGAGGTTTACGATAAATATTTCACAGAAAAGTAGCACGTTACAAAAGAAATTAAGGCTGATTAATTACGTTCAATAACATCAACTTGAATTCAATGATTTCTCGGCAGTACCGTAACATTTATGTTCAAAAAAGGTAAATTTAAGGTGGAGGAATGTAGACGTCGCCAGGTGAAAGACGATTTGATATTTCTTTTTCTTCTTGGAATCTGTGACTAGAAAAAATACGTATAAAAGATACAATCTAATTAAAATAAAGAGTGTTATCATGTCAGCTAGCTAATCTGCTTTGCCAGAATATCGTGTGGCCAGCCATTTTGGACGAAATTCAAAACAAATTTCAAAGTCAAATTGTAGTGCTACATGTTCAAAAGTAGCTACTGAGTGAAACAATTTATCGTAACATATTGCGCAATAATGGATACTGACACTGTATAACACAATATAATACAATGTATTTATTGTAGTATAAGAAACAAATCTAAAAACGACGTACCCTGAATCCAACAGCTTTTTGATGAATAACCAACAATGGTGGAGCTGCAGCACGACGCAAATCTCTTATAATAATAATTATCTGCAAGTTTGTGAGCAATCCCATCTGGTAAATTAGGTGGGTCTTGTGTCCTGTGTAAATAAATCAAAGTTAGTTTAACACTAGCCTACAATTTCTTGAACAACGCTATTTTAAAAGAATAATAGAGTGAACAGAATTTTTCCGTCACGAGTGATCGGTGAATAGTCAACTCAAAGACAGATCTACTTGACAGTTGCGAAATGAATGTTCAATTAACACGAAAATTCATAATCACTTCATAGGCGGCCCAATAAATCACTTAACTAGCTAAATTGTATAAACAAACTATAACTCGGTATATATATACAATATATATGTATAATATGGTAAATATATATAATATATATATAATCAATTAATACAAAGTTTGCAGCGCACAGTTTGTTACGATGGAATGGGGCGAGTTATCGTTTGTTTATACGATTTAGCTAGCTAAGTGATTTATTGAGCTGCATATGACTTCAACTGTGATTTTCAACAGTGAACGTGCAATTGCACATTTTCTCAGTGCCACTGAAGATAAACTGCACTGCAATCAACCAATCGCAGTCGAGAAACATCTCAAGGTATATTATTAAAAGAGAAAAAGCACTAATATCAATTGACACATATTTTCTACGTAGTGTCATAAATTATAAACTCCTACCTTGGCGACATCACCTGAATTTCTGGGGATACTTTCTCAAAATACCTTTGGGCAATAATGAGATCTTGCTATAAAATAATGAATGGATATAATAAAATAAACTAGTTTAAGAAAATTAAAATTTATGCTACATACACCAGAAAGAAAATTCTGAGCTTTGGATAATTTTTGTTACGTTCGCCATTTTGGTTTGATTATTTATTTGGTCACTGATCTCTATACAATACATGGAGCTGATTACACAATTGCCATCTATACTTTGACGTCTTTTGGAAAATCATTATCATACACAGTTGAAATTAAACATAATATTTAAAATGATCATCCGTCTGAGCTTTTGAAGACCCTATTTTTCATTTTACACTTTCACCTTATGGGTATACTACATTTGAATTCTATACCAGGGCGCACTTGCCAGGGATGAGACAACGAGATCCCCTTGTGAGCCCTTTACACGATAATAAAACTATAAAAGTTAAACAATCATCGACGGAAAATTAACCAGTGAGTAGAGTTGTGTACCAGTTATATTGAGTTCCTTTGTTTTAATCCATAATCCTGCAACTGCGCCCCTAAATGCTACATTTGTTGCTCTTTTGAGGTTCCAGCACACTCTGTCCTGGACACATATATTGACGTCACAGTTGCAGAAACGACTGGATGAGTATTATTCAAATTTTTGCTAAGTATGGCTTCTTGCAAACACCCAAGGACTGATGTGCGAAAAGTGATATATCTGCAAATCACTCGTACATCTGGAGTACAGGCTGTCCGAGGCAGCCTGACCATTTATGCTTCATTTATTACGAAGCCAGCTTTGATCTGATCAGATTGCCCCATTGTTCAAAATTTTACAATTATTTAAAGTAGGTAAAGTTGTCTAGTATCAGAGCAAATCTGGTAAAAAAAATTTGGTTAGACTCGTCCGAGGAACAATTTTCAACGTTTCTTAACACAAAATTGAGAGAATTTGTTTCTACAAAATGCACACAATGAAAAATTTGAATTAGAAAAACTGGAAGAATTCTACTTAGATGAAATTAAAATACTTGTTCTTGTAGGTTTGCATAACTTTGTATGAAATGGCTTACCTAAGTAGATATTTTTTGCTAAGAACAGGTCTTTAAAACATAAGTTCGTGAAATTTTTTTTGGTATATAATGCAATGTATATAATACTAATTAGAATTAAGCAATTCAATCAACTAAGGAACGTGAAGATGTGGCGTTCTGTTTGGTATTCATGTACTTTATCATGTTTCAAAACCACAACAGACGAGTTTTTATGGTTGATTTAGTAAAATGCTTTTGAATAATTGAGTTTTTGAAATAGTAATATAATATTATCATTTACAATTGCAGTTATATGTTTACAAAATTTCCAGACATTTTCAAAATGTCATTCACAATGGCGTATCCAGCCTGCTAATATAGTCTTCACTATGCAAATTTTTATTCAATCACTGAAAAACCAAAGGTTTTAGAAATAAATTAATAATGATAATATTTAGAAATCAGCATAGCGGAACTACATCACGTGGGCTGGCGACGCTATTGATAATTCAAAAGACAATTGATCTTCGAAATAAATAACCAGCCAAAATAGGAGGGAAAATAAAACCACCTTTTTTAAACCATAGAGGAATCATGGTCAATCAAACAAGACTATATAATCTTGAGTCAAGTATGTTTTGGCCTGTGCACAGAAATGGTACAGACCCAGACTTCCAACTTCTTTAAGGAGTTTATGTCCGCACTAAGGTTATATATATATTCCATTTGCGCAGTTGTGTAGAGCACTGTTATGATAACGTCTTACGACATTCATTGCCGACATGCGCAACACGCTCGTAATGTACTTTTAAAGGCCTCCAAAACAACCAGAAACTATTCTTCATTTGTTGGTTAAAGCATGAAATATATCTGAAATGAAAAAAATATGAAAAAGGTGATCAATTTCATTTACTTCATGACTAAATACTTTACATGTCTAGAACTAAGTACTTACATCTCTTTGTTATGCAGAAGTGTGACTTTGACATTGTGAATAAAGAGAGTAGAAAATCCGTAATAAAAAATCTTCACTCGAATTAACTTTCCAATGTCATTGTTTTCTGTTGTCAATTCAAGCCCAGTTTCAGTCCCCCTGAAACAAAATCTTCCACTATTATATGTGAAATGTAAATAGCAAAGCGACTTCCCTTACGACATGAAAAAGGTTTTCGAAACATTGTTCCAAATTAGAATAAGAACATATAGTAGCATTTTTTGGAATGGGAAAACTGGCTGTTGGTTATGATCTTTTTGGGTTATCTATTGACATCATAGACAATCATTTGCATTAATAATGACGTTAAAAATTTATGTATCAAAAACTTCCCACAGAGTATGCTGGTTTTAACGTTATGAATAAGAACAACAGACCTTCGTATCTTTATTTTTTTCTTTTTAGATGCACCATTGCTCCCAATTAACTGAATATATACTGCATTGAAATTTACTTTACTTCGAGAATACGAAACCGTTATTAAATAACTGTAAGCTAAAAACAGAAAATAAACATCATAAATAAATATCATGTTGTGGCAATATTCTCAAGTCAGGGGAGTACTGAGTAGCCATTTTGAGTTTTCTTGTTGAATAGTTTTCTGTCTATAAGTTGTTTGTTTCTATAAATGCAAAATGTCTACTTTTTTAAGCTCAGTTAATGTTACTCTTTCATGTAGCGATGAGACGAATGAGCAGTTTTATATAATCCTTGTTAAATTACGCTTTCAAACAAGAACCATAACAATATATTACGAAGTAGTTTGTAAGTTCAAAATATTAAGTCCCTCTTGCGTGCATTATTAAAACATACCACAATATGGCGAAGTGGCCATTGTCAAGAAACAGTGGCTGATCATGTCTTTGATATTTTTCTGCGGGCATGCCCATTAGTGACAGATTTTGCAAAGAAAATTTCTCCGAACATTTTCTATTCTTGAAATCTTTCCAACTTGAACAAGGAAATGCCGGAAAAGGCATTTTGACGTATTGACTCCGTAAAATATATGACTGATCTTATATGATGACACATTCCAATATAAAGTATTCCTTTTCGCCATATTGCTTGAAAATGAGATCGAACAGAATTACAAAAGAAAGACAAACCAATCTCTCTGGCACAATTTATGCAAAGCCTACCATAGATAATTACATTTATAAGTGTAGTACAATCTAAAAGAAATACGGCCTTTTCACTTTTGACTATAGGTGGTCCTTCTGGATAACTTATAACGACGACTATCGGTAGTATCTTTCAATGACAAAATGTCTTAAATGAAAGCTAATGTTTGTGTCAAATTTAAAGCGTATGATATTGTTTTCTGACGTAACGCGTATGCAACGTATTCAGGAAAAGGTGCCATTTGATAAAAGATCTTATTGTTTTGTAATTAATTGATATACATTGACTTTGACGAAGTGTCTTTCCTTGACACGTGAAGAAATACTTAAAAAATAATCATAAGTAAATCTTCTCGTAGATTTTTTAGCAAACTTCAAGCCCGACGCTCACTCTAAATATGCTATGAATATTTTATTCATTCAAGCTGTGGTCACAAACATGGCCATTCGAAAAAATCACGTGACAGCTGGTGAAGTCAAAATAATTACTTACTTCCCAAAAACTACCGCAGCCCGGTTGGTGTTCACCTCCATTGGGATAGAAATCCGCATGACCCAACTGTCCGCGGTATCCAACTCCACCAAAGAAATGGTGCTGCATTTGTATGTATTACATCGACAAATGATGCATCCGTTTTATGAAGACGTGTTTCATGATGTCTGCCTTCAAAATATGGTCTTGCTGGATCAAGACCTATTTGTCCAAGATAACAATAAATCCATGAATGTCATTTCAATTTGTTGAGCTTCTAATATAGCATTGTTTAAGAACAGATAAGCAATCACGTCGAAACTGTCAAATGAAAAAGTTTTCTCAAACATGGACATTCAGAAAGACCCTTAATATGGGCATGAATGCCGGTCAACGCTTAGAGTATCATAATACCATTGTTGACAGATTGTTGATTTAAGATGCAGGCAACAAGATAAACGGTTTGTGAACTTCTAAATACGTTACGTAAAACAAATTTTGGAAAAAAGATCATTACATGATTGGAGAGTAAGCATAGTCTTCAATTACATATTCTGCTATGCCAGGCTGATTTCTTTTGAAAAAGATTTGACTTTCATAAAAATCACCATAAGGCATAACAGAATACGTGAATATAGTCCCCCAATCGACACATTTTGGAAAAATTCAATTATTCTACCCGAGATGTCGTTGTTATCTTACCTGTAATTCTACCTAATGGCAATTTTTCTTTTCATTTGCTTGCCAACATAACCTGCAACATGTGCTCCAAGACTGTGACCAACAATATGAACTTGTTCGGTTGTTAATCCTGAGGTTACGAAGAAGACCAATGAGATGGGCCGTTTGTGTCCTACCAGTCGGCCATTTGCAACTGCCTGAAATAATATTGAAATTGTATTGGTTTAGCCACGCACAGACGAACAAACCTGCCTGTGACAAGTCATATTTTACCAGTTTTTATTACCAATAACCATTTGTTTACATAAAATACAGTCAAACCTCCCATAAGCGGACAACCTTTGACCACGACTTACGAAAGTGTCTTTTAGTTCGTACGGAAGCTTACGAGAGAAAACAAAGTGGTGTTCATTTTCGAGATGGGTCTGTCAGTAAACATTAGAGGGCATTTTTAAAAAGTTCGATTTTGAATTGATTTTAAGCATGTGAATTTGCCACACTCCTCACAGTTAAAGGTGTGCAAACTAGGAATAAGAGAACAATGGAGTTTTGGTCATGTTGGATGACATTTGCTTTGGAAATAACAAAAATCCCGGAAAATCCTTTATCAAAATTCTCTAACATGGCGGCCATGACGTGCAAAGTCGAGTAAAATATGTATAGAATAGTTTGCTTGTCTGATGGAAAAAAGTATATTACTTTGTTTTGTGATACAATATACTGTTAGACAATCATTGTCATGAATGAATACAGCTATTGAACTTGGATTCAAGAACGAATTAATAAATTCTATAAAAAAGTAATTTTGCTTTGTTCCCAAGGGAATTAACCAGTGTTTCTTTCACTTTTACAGGTAGCACTTTTCAAAAATTTGCATAACAATAACATATAATCACAATCAATCATCAATAATCGACTTGCCTTTAAGTAGGACAATTTACGATAAGAAGCTCCTTTCTTCCAGTCCACAGTAATAACGTTGCACTGAAAATTTATCAGTAGTTCATTCTTCATTTTAATCACCCATGGTTTTCTAGGATGATGGTCGTAGCCGTGTATAATAATGAATGTTTTGTGCGACGAATTGAATTGGGATGACGCTATAGAGCTGATGTTGTTCATATTAAGTTCAGCGGACTGTCGGTTAAACGTCGTGTGAAGGTAAAATTTTGTCTGGATAATATGGGGATGGGAAGGCAATTCAGCGTGTTTTGTTTTGAAATATTTCGTATTTGCAAAGCATCCATACTTTTCAAAACAGATTTTCTTTGCTGCAATATAAAATAAAATCAAAATCAGTGGCGTGAACTTTTCCTCGAAGAGCAAAGTGCATTCTTCGGATTTTTGGACCATGCATTTTAGATCATGTTAATTAAAGCATTTTGTTCATCAAAATAACATTTGAAAGGAAGACACCGAATGATAAGCATGCCTTCGTGTATATCATTCATCCTAACATTTATTATAATTGTATTTTGCTTATTCATGTTGATTTTATTTTAGCGTTAAAACGTGCGACATGGTCATGCGACATGGTCGTGCGACATTGTCGTGCGACATTGACGTGCGACATTGTCGTGCGACATTGACGTGCGACATTGACGTGCGACATTGACGTGCGACATTGACGTGCGACATTGACATCAATGACATGCAATATAAGAGTAAGCCCCTGCTATATATATATCCACAGTATAGAATAACACAGTAGTTCCACTCTATTAAAATTTTTTGTGTAGCGCATATCTTATTACACATATCAGAATTCAGGATAATTGCAGCCAGTAAATTGCATTTTCTGACCAATAGGGACGCTAAGGTGGTTATTCGCAGCCAGTAACAATAGGCCACCAGTGGCGCAAGCCACAAAGAATCCTAGTTCCCGACAGCATGCAATCGGGCTAGGTTATCCGAGACATGCTGGAAATTAAGTAAGTGTGTATCAGGGTATTCTATAAATTCTCAAATAGAAGTTGTATGAATAAAATATTTGTTTATAAATATTACAATTAAGATAATATTATACTCCATGCTAAATATACTATACTATATGTGTGAACTGCTGTTATCTTAGCATAAGTTTTATTTACTCATATATACAAATACATGTCAGTTTTGCAGGCTGTTTGGATTATTGTTGTTGTTGAGCTTTGACAAACTGAGGGTTCATAATGTGTTTGCTGTGGTTGATGGGATTTATTGAGTTGGTTGTGCAGTTGTAAAATATGTAGATGGTGTAGCGAACTTGAGATTGAAAAGTCAAGGAACTTCTGATCTTAGAGGAAAGTGTTTGTTTGTAACAATTGAATTTAAATATTTGTTACTGTAGGCTGTACCAGAGAATTTGCAGTTGTGATGCTGACCATAATATCTCTAGTTTACAAACCAAAAAGAAACAATATATCCATAAGTAAGCATTGTTATTGAAAAGAAAGTTCATTACCGTTTTACTTACTCTTTCAAAACGAAAAAATCGTGTTGTGCATAGTACACGATACATGTATACATTACAGTTTTTAATGCCTCACTTTTTATAGAACTGAGTCTTAACTTAAAACTTTAGCCTTAATTAAAATAATTTACGATCTATAAGTGGACATCAAAAAACAAATCCTTCTTGTTGAAAAATTAAATCGGTATTTTTAAAATATGTTGTGACACTTTCAGTGTATCTGCGAGAATGGGGGAAATGTCACAATTTTGATGAAATATTACAATTATCCAATCTATATTTAATGTAGTGAAAACCTGCTTATGAAATTGATGCTGAAATATTTTCGGATATTAAAAAATGCCATCATTTACTATGGGCCAAATATACTGGATATGTTTTCACCTATTTGTATATATATAAATATACAAAGCTCGAAGCAACAAGTCGAAAGCTCAATAAAATCATTTAAAATCCGGAGAAACTTTTATCTTTTATGTATATATATGTTTGTGTACTGAAAGTATAAAAATATGCGATGGCATCAGCTTGCGTCAACTACCAACTAATAAACCGTTGAATTTTTAAGGTTAAGTAGCGACAAAACCTTTCTCATTCCTTTAGATTATTTTGGTCTTTGAAAATTTGTGAATTGTATCATTCATCAATGCTTTAAATAGAAAAATAAAGCAAATCAACACAAAATTATGTGTTATAAAATGAAACGGCTTTAATAATATGATTAGTAATTCTCCTTGAGATTAAGGCTCGTATATTCTTGTGTAGCGCAAGCTTGCAACTATTATCAAAGTGATCTGAATCACAATACGATTAAGATCTACAAAATGCCCCATTTTTGTATTGCATCAGCATTCTTTGGCGAGTTGTTCCTATTTTTAATGACCTAGCATTTTTCAATGATCGCGATAGTCACGCAATCACGATCTTGCATAACACGATTCAGCAACTTTTGCAAATTGCATTAAAGATGCATTAGTAAAATTAAAACACACAAGAGCTGATGATAAGACTATATGGTGACTTTTAGATTTGGCTGGAAGGAATCTCGTTAAACGGGATGATTAAAATACTATACAGTTTTGTGTATCGAATATCGATCTAGAGTAGACAGTGAAAAATTATTGAATGTTGTCAACAAAATTTAAGAAAAGTTGAAAGAGAGCTTCCGCAATCTTTGCAACTGCCTTAAATCGACGAGTAAATCAAAACCTTTTAAAAGTTACTTCCTGGCTGCTTTTTACTTAATGGTAGAAGAAAAACGATGGCTTGTTAAAATTAAGATAAATAACATTCATTAAATACAGCACAAACAACAAATTGCAGTAGGGCACTGGAGGTCACAAAATCAGCTCATTAAAAATGTTGTACTTAGTCATAAAATAAACGAGGAATTGAGAATCAATAGATGGAAAACACCTCGCATCATGCTTACAATACGAACATACGGGATCCATAAAAGCGTAAGCATTAGTTTCCTAATTGACTTATTTTTCTATCTATTTTTATTCATTTATGAACTTGGTACCAGGGTCAAATTCACGCCCCCAAAATTAAGAAGGTGTTCGACGTTCCGACCATTCCGACACCAACTTTTGCGGAATTTAAAAGAAAAACCCGTTTCTGGACAGACTTTTTGTAAATATTATACAAAAACTGCTAGTATCATACCCTCACCTTCCTAAGTGTGCCTCTACTTGAGACTGCATTTATAACTACCCAATCATTTTTTATCATGATTGTTAATTACAAAACTCATTAAGGAATTCCTAATCACCTGATTCTTCTGATAAAATTTAGTGTCAAAACGTGCTCTGTAAAAGTACATCTAAAATTTAAAACTTCACCATGCATATAAAAGTTAAAATTTTTTAAATATCCCAAACATTGAGCTGAAGAGTCAAAAAACACAGCTTCTCTTATCCTGTATTTACTGTCGTATTTTCCAAATATTACGCAAATATTTGCTTAGCATACAACACCATGTGAGCGCAATTCATTGTAATTATTTCAAGAAACATTTTGAAACACTACTATCCGAACGATGGGCAAGTTGAAAGGACAGGGCACGATCGAGGAGGGCTATACGTGTCTTTTTAGTTTAATGTCAACATTGACATTTCTTTCAGAATGTTTTTCGTAAGATCACGCTGTGTAATCAATGTGTTCATGGTGTTCACATGTTAAAAAGCAAAGTCTAGATCTTTTTTTTTGGTTGGCCTTAGTAAACACACCAATAATTATCTTTGTGACTTTGCCGGTCAATAATATCTTTTTGATGCAGAATGATTATCGCATTAACTTTTCTTAAGAATTAGAACACATTTGACTTTGACATTGTGAAATCTGAGTATAGATTTGTTTTTATCTTTTTCCTTTAGTCATAAATAATCATCTTTTAGCTGTCTGTAGGTAGTCTCAAGACCATCTGGAGGTAGTCTCAAGACCAACTGGAGGTAGTCTCAAGACCATCTGCTTTTTTCAGTTAGCTAATTAACATAATTTGCGTTGTTCCATTCACATCGAAGAGCAAATGCTTCCTGCTGAAAGATTCCAGATGGATTAGGTTTTAACTCTTTCAGAATTTCTGTTTATGAAACGAATTAATTATGTCGTAAAATTGCTAGTCAAGAAAATAAGTTCAATAATGAATGGACCTAATTTGTTTAATTTATACGTGTATTGTTTCAGTAAGCTCGTTGGAATAAATTCCATTCTTTGCACGCAATTTTAGAGTCAAGAAAACTACTAAATACCAGTGTAACAAGATTCAAGTATCTTGCACACCCATGCCAATTATTAGTCTAATGGTGTCAAAACCTGATTATGAGATTTGAATTAAAATTTTAGTTTTGGTACGCCGAAAGGCATTACGCCGCATTAACTATTACGGTCTATAAAGTCATCTTTCAACACCGCTATATTATCTTTCAAAAATTGATAAACTAATGGATAAATCAAAGTTTACAAAACACCATGCTTGTTTTTAACAAATTGAGAGAGTTGCTGAGCAGTGGCGTAGCCACCTCGCACATTTGGACATGCTATGTAAATTTTTCAATGCAAAAATAACAGATTTTAAAAGACTTAAGTAATGATAATCATCAAAACAATTTAGATAGCGACAGCAAATTTGCTGAGAACGTTGTTGAGAAAGAAAAGTGATCTTAATTTTTGTCACAATATTTTCTACCCAACTTCATAAGTGTTTTATTGACCACGGGTAACACGTATTTTTCAAATGATCTGCTATCAAATAAAATAGCTGATTAATCTCTGCGCAATCGAAATGACAGTCAAGGCGCTTTAGCGCAAACAGGCAATTTCACAGTGTGAATTTTCTGTAATATTGGCAAGAAGTGGAAAAATAAAATGGCTTAGCTGGTAGCAACCCCGTTTATTTCATTCAATGCAAATGATTCTGTGTTAGCTAATTTCAAAAACAATGAACTAAGCGAGATTTTAAAATAGCGTGACTTTAGAAATTTCGTGATAAAAACCAAATATAAAAAAAGCGACATTTCAAAATAGTGAAGATTGTCACGCAACCAAATTTATTAATTCGCATTGTATTATAAAGCAAATTTTTGTAAATTTTACTCATTCATTTAGTATAAAACAGACGCTTGCACGCTCAAATAATGTTCTCTTGGTTTTCTTTTAAACGAATCATTCTCTCTTGAGTTAAAGAAATCAATAATCAGCACAAAGGACAATCTCATTTCTTACCTGTCGTAGATGTGAATAACAGGATCAAGATCAAGATGCATTGAAAAAACGTTATTACTTTTAGAAGCCAACGAGCCATCTTCGATTTAACGGAACGCTCTTTCTCTGCAACCAACCGAGGGTAGTTTGAGACCAACTGGCGGATTAAATTATAATCATACGTTAAATGAAGGACAAATTGATTAATAATTAAATTCATGTGTCATAGCATTTCAAACGAAATTGATGACATGCATACAGTGAATCACAGGATCAACTCAGCATCATGAATTGACTGATAAATGAATAAAATTTCTACGATGTATTCATTACTTTTTGACTCTACAATAGATCACTTTTATAGAAAAAGTAAAAAGATAAATTCTTATTTTCAGTCAAGGAGACTTTGTCTTTTGGACCATATTAAACTATAAATAATTCGTAGAAGCACAGGAGGGCTAACTGTCGTTTTAAAATTCAGTTGAAACCAGCTAATTGAAATGGTTATAGTTAAGTACTCTTTTTTATTAGATATGTTAGCGATTAGAGCAATTTACCAAGGGAGGCATATTTTTGAGAATAGGTTGTGAAACGTTTTAAATGATTTTTTAATTGTTGTACTACAGATTCTAGTTATGAAGTGTATGTAAGTAGGGAGACAAACTAAATAAACTATTAAGCGATAACCTTCTTTATCGCTTCCCTCGCCATTATAAACAAATTTAAAACCAAACCAATGCTTTGTCGTTCCACAAAACATGTTGAGCTCTGTTTTCTGGGTGTATAAAGAACAAACCACTCACAGTTGTAATATGCATAGAGCGTAGAACGCATGCCAAATTATAATTTATTAAATTTTTACAAATTTAAGGAGTTGAATTTAACGTAAGAATGCTTGAATAATTATTTTTCACAGCTTTAAGCCCGGCGCACACGAGAACTATGTGCTTAGCAAAATGTTATTCGTGCCAAGTGGCGTAAGCAAGTTACTCACGTGTGCGCGTGCTGTTTCCGAAGACTTTGGCCATTCCAGGCAGAACTGGCAAATATCTAACATGTTTGATATTTTTTGCCACGCGTGGCGAAATGCTTTGTCGATTTGTCCGTGTGCGACGTCTTGAAGCAAATTGCTTTTGTGTTTCCAAAACAGCGCATGTTCCATAAATTTCATAAATATCGAACAAGGGTAGTGTCTAGATGTTTGGCTTGCCAACACAAACACTAATTCTTGCGAATGCATCAAGGACAAAAGAAAATGGATATATTTCTCATTAAAGATGGAATGGCGGTGAATGCACAATCATCACAAGAAGAGACGCAATAATTAAAAGAAAAAATGCATTTTCTCTATTGAATACAATGAACGTTGAAGAGAAATACGTCCCATAAGCTGATTTTTGAGAATATCCCAAAGAAAACATTTTTTCCGGGCAAAACTGAGAAACACGTAGAGGCTTTATGGGCAAGAATGAGTTTTGAAAAGAACTGAGTCTGTCTATACAGCTACATTTGTAGGATGGTAGCTATGTTGAAAGCAGAGAATTTGTCAAAACACTGAAGGAGTGACTGCATAAAAATCACACAAACCTTTGAAATATTTTATTTTTGAAGAACTCTAAAGCATAATGTTGTATACTTTCATATGAGCATAATTACTATATCTTTCCAAGGTAACGCAAAACAAAGTTGTGTTGTAAACTTTGACATTTTTCACTTTCAGAACTAAGACCATGTATGTAAATTTCGTATCATAAATATCATCCATTTTAATTCCTTAGCACGTCTCTGCGTTGAGCTACATCATAATAGATCAATAAAGACTCAACTGTAACTCCATGCAATTTGAAATCAATCTATTGTAAATCATTGTATTAAATTTTAACTATAAATTTGTTCACATAAGTGTCCAATTCGCTCATCTACGGGATCTGTGAGCTAATAAAGCAACGAAGATGAGAAATGAGGAATCTTGGGATAGCAACACAGACTACACCGTACATAAACTATGTTCTGTATAATTCAAATATCGTTAATCATGCTAACGTTCGGTACAAAAATCTTCTATGTTGGCGCAGCAGTTCGTCCAGAGTGATGATTAGCTTCATCTTGAATACGCTCGTAGCCCAATTGCTTTCGTTGAGGATACAATATATAATGCTGTACCATAAACAAAATATCAAAGAGTACTGATATTAAACCCAGAGAAAACTTTGTCAGGTCTCCGAATATTGCCACCCAGGCATCTGAAAAGATAAGCATGCATCGTTATGCAGTAATCACATCAAAAATGCGAAACTTTACAAAACACTAGTAAACAAGGTTTTATCAAAAATACAATAAGGTTGTGTGATATTAAAACAAGAGACCTCAGCTTTAGCAGAAATACCACAACAGATCTCAGCAGAAGTCACTTCATGCGTGTGCTAAGTATTTCTGAAACAAAAACAACATGACCGCGACATGACCGAGACATGACCGACAAATGAAAAACAGCATGACCGACACACAAATGAAAAACACACTTACACTAAACCAAAATGACCGACACACAAATAAAAAACAGTGGAATTACATGAATCAGAATGAACAATGTAAAAGACAACATTGAAGAATATAACTATTGCTAATCAATTTAACGACAAAGATGAAAGTTATACCAAGTTACAGGGAACATTTTTTTTCAATTTTCGAAAGAACACACCACGTATATATGGTCATTTTGAAGTTCCGTATATAGAATACGCGATATAGTCATGTACTTACTATTGTTATATGACAAAATAATCATTTGTAGAATACTAAAAGATCCTCCGGTAAAGTCAAGCAATACATTGCCGATGCTCCAACCAACCGTACTTTTTCTTCTAAAATTCATGTACGCCTATAGAAATGAAGATTTCGAAAATTTGCATCGCAAACGAATGCCGAGAGCAAAAAATTTAGGTGGGTATTTTCTATTGCATTAATCATGTTGCTTTAGTGGTCAACATACACTGTCAAATAAACGCCGAAAACGGTGTTAAATTAAGAAATGGCAAATTAACATTTTTTAGGAGCTACATTTGACACTTTTAAACAGGTGCTATATTAACACCTTTGGGTGTTAGATAAAACTGTTCTTGGTGTTATATCAACTCTTTTGAGGGTTGTTTTGACTCTTGTATTGGTGTAGCAAGAAAAGCTTGCAATGCTTTTTATTTCGCGAAATATATAGTGATACAAATATATATTAGTTAATAATCAATAGACTGAGTAAAAATTGCTTATTAAGACCCTAAAAGCACTTGTTTGGTTATATCCTCATATAAAGCTGTGAATCAAAGAAATGTCATTTACACAACAATATAAAATACATCTAACCAACCTGGGGCACGTATTTGATCAAAGTCATGGCAATTTTGACGTAGGAGAAACAATAAAGATAATCAAGCCAATTAAGTTCATCCGTAAATATCGTTAATAATAGGGTAATGAACATCGACAAAACAGAAACAGAGACCAATATCTTGCAGAGCTTCGAGACCACTTGTTGTCCTCGCTTGAGAAATGATGCACTATTAACTATATGTATACATAAGTATCAACAATACAACACCTAAGGCTCTCACTCTCAACATGCTGACTAAAAATGCTCTCTACATTGTAGACTCGACATGTAGAGAGCAATTGCGCACCCTGTTGGGACGTTTTAAATGGCATTGAGCTGTGTCAAGCGTTGTTGAAAGATGTTTAAGCTTGCTCTAGCTTTACACTCAACAGGGATCAAGATTTTCTTTTTCTCGTGATCACCAGAGCGTACTTCAACACTGTTTAGTGCGTTTGAAAAGCACACTCAATAATGTTGAGGTAAAGCATGCGCACTGCGCAGCGTATACAGGTGGAAAAATGCGTCGGAAAAGATAGAAGCTGAATTTTTGGCTGGTGACTGAACCGTATATGTAGCTGTACAGACGCAGTTGGTAGGGGTCGTGAATATTTTATCCCATGATTCTACGTGTTATAATAATAAACCAATATTAAACTCAACATGTTGAAAGTGTTTGCACACACCGGTTAACGTCATTTAGCTAACAAGCGCAATGTTGAGGGCAAGTTCAGTTAACATGTTGAGAGAGTTCGCACTTTTGCACATACTTTTAACTAATTAAGCGTTAACAGGAATTGTGGAGGGTTCCTCATTAATTTATTAGCAATACTTAAGACGTCGAATTTGCTCAGGAGAATTGCGCATGCGTTCTAAATTATCCGAAATTGTCCGAAATCGAAATTATACGATTATTATCAATATCTACGTATACAGTGTATAGCCATCAATTAAATAGCTGTGATAACATGTACATCGTAAAACATTCTACCTCACTATAAATAATAAAAGAATGTTAATATATATCGAAATACTGTGAATACAGGGTGTATAAAAGAAAACTACAGCAAGAAAAACGTCGTCAGCACGCAAGATCTGCAAAAACCTTTTAAAAACGCAATATCCAAAAGAACTTTCGATTTGAAAGCTAAGCGTTCGCGTACGCACAAGCCAAATTTCATAAAACTTTACTGCCAAATGAGCCTTTGAAGTCCAATTAACTAACTATTTAACCAAAGGTTTTGGTAAATCTTGCGCGCAGATGAATTTAGCGACGTTCTCCTATCTGTTCAGCTCTTTTCGTTACACCCTGTACATCCCAGAAATAGCAACGACACGTCATTGTTGAATGTAGCGTGAATCACAATAACTGATTCTTTTTACTTTAAAACTGTACCTCATAAATAAGAATTTGTATTGCCGTGATAATCGTCAAAAGTAGAGCATGAATGCTGAAAAATACGTCGTTCGCCTCAACGGGATCCTCATCATCGTTTGGATGATCGGAGTGATATTCAGACTGAGTAAAATATACAATGTGTAAATCTTGTATCATAATGTTTGATTTCGGAGTGAGTAAAACAATGTGTAAACTTTGTGTCATAATGTTTGATATTCGGAGTGAGTAAAACTGTGTAAACCTTGTGTCATAATGTTTGATATTCGGAGTGAGTAAAACAATGTGTAAACGTTGTGTCATAATGTTTCAAATTTGTTTTGAGTAAAATAGACAATGTGTAAACCTTGCGTCATGATGTTTGATATTCAGTCTGAGTAAAATAGACAATGTGTTAATCTTGCGTCATGATGTTTGATATTCAGTCTGAGTAAAATAGACAATGTGTTAATCTTGCGTCATGATGTTTGATATTCAGTCTGAGTAAAATAGACAATGCGTAAGTCTTGGGTCATGATGTTTGATATTCAGTCTGAGTAAAATAGACAATGTGTTAATCTTGCGTCATGATGTTTGATATTCAGTCTGAGTAAAATAGACAATGTGTTAATCTTGTGTCATGATGTTTGATATTCAGTCTGAGTAAAATAGACAATGTGTAAGTCTTGTGTCATGATGTTTGATATTCAGTCTGAGTAAAATAGACAATGTGTTAATCTTGCGTCATGATGTTTGATATTCAGTCTGAGTAAAATAGACAATGTGTTAATCTTGAGTTATGATGTTTCATATTCAGTCTGAGTAAAATAAACAATGTGTTAATCTTGCGTCATGATGTTTGATATTCAGTCTGAGTAAAATAGACAATGTGTAAGTCTTGTGTCACATAAGTTTTGTCAAATACTTTAATTTTAGGAATCCAGAACATTCCAATGTTGAATACACCATATGCAAAGAAGCCAAGGAGATTGTAGCAGACAAAATCGAAGTTGAGGCCAATTACACTGAAAGAAAGAAATGAATTAAAATTCCCAAAAGAATGATCAATTTGTAAAATAAATATATTGCAAACGAAGATTTATCTATTTGTATGATATCAGTGTAATATCATATAAATGGACAAGTGTGATCAGATTTAGTAATTTTTATTACTAGATCCGCTCTCATAAGTTTAGACAGCCTCACCTGATTTAAATAATTCCAACATTTGGAACAGGGGGGAGCAGTCTACACTGACCAATGCATTTTTGATAATAAATTATACATATATGGTAACACTGGTTAATAAACTA